GCAAGAATTGTAAGTCTAATGTAAAGAAGCAAGAATTACCATAAAATCATAGTGTATTCTGAGTTGGAAGGTGCCCACAAGGATGGTAAGTCCAACCCTGGCTCTACACCAGATCACCCAGAATTCAAACCCCGTGTCTGGGAGATCTGTCCAAACTCTTGTTGAACAACAGCTTGTGGCTGTGCCCCTGCCCTGGGGAGCCTGTTCTGTGCTCAGGTGGTCAAGAACCTTGCCTGACCCTCCCCTGATGCAGCTCCACGCTGAGCAGGACAGCCCCTCCCCTCACCCAGTGTGCAGTGCTGGGCCTGGTGCCCCCAGGGTACGGTTGGGCTTTTAGCCCTGGCAGCCAAATTAGGCTGTAATTACAAGTCACACTGATTACAAAGGAAGGATGTTTTCAAGTGCACTGATATGAATCTTAGCTTAACTTCTGTCACATCAGGTAAACAAGGGAAGAACCCAATTTTCATTAGCCTGTATTTTAGGATGTAGTTGAGTGTGACATTTGCAAATGTCAGAGACAAGAAGTCACACCATTTTTTCTTAAAGTCTATGGAAATTACTTGTCCTCAGGCCAAAATTAAGATTCTGCTCTTTAAGAGCTGTGCTTCCTAAGCAAGGGTGTCAGCACAACTCCTGAAAAAATTAGTGCTCCTAGCTGTGACCCCAGCTATACTACAGAGATGGCCACTGTACAGCTAAGTAGTTGTTGAGTGTTATTGGTGGCTGTGTGGTGTTTTAATACAAACAGTAAAGACAAACTTGAGAAAAATGTGTTATTTCTTGGTCTTAAAGCAGCAAAGTCAGAAGTTGCTCATCCACATGTGCACTTGTGAGGAGATAGAGGGTTAATTCAGGTTCATTCTAAGCTATACTGTGTCTACTTATGAGTACTGTTTTAAGTGTTTTAGACTGGTTGCTTTCTTCTAAGTTGAATTGATGCTTGGTTGGCAACAGCTGCAGTGGGACTGAGATGATGGTTATAAGGAGGTTGCAGGTTGTTCTTGTGTGCGGCAGATATTCTATCTGCTGATGTAAAGCCAGAATAAGGTTGTGTCCTCATAATCAGCCTAACTTCATAGATAAGGCCTGATGTACATCAGTCTTAAGAAGTTACCGTCTTAAAAAAAAAAAAAAAGTCTCCAGAAGGAGATATTAGCACATATCAATTTTAAATGGCCTCAGCTTTGTTTAGGGGCTTATTTCATCAAGAAAGTTCAAAAATCATGCAGCCATTAAAATTAGATAAGACTTCTGAGATTACTGAGTTGCACAGTCAGCCCATCCTCACCATGCCCACTGGCCATGTCCCTCAGTGCCACATCCACATGGCTCTTGAATACCTCCAGGGATGATGACTTCACCACCTCCCTGGGCAGCCTGTGCCAGTGCCTGACTACTGTTTCAGAAAAGAAACTTTTCCTAGTATCCAATTCTTATCTCCCTTGCTACAACCTGAGGCTGTTGCCTTGTGTCCCATCACTAGTTGGCTGGGAGATGAGACTGATCCCCACCTCACTACAATTTCAGGTCACTGTAGAGGGCAATGGAGTCTTCCCTACGCTTTTCCAGACTGAACAATCCCGTTTCCTTCAGCTGCTCCCTATCAGGCTTGTGCTCCAGACCTTTCATAGCTTTGTTGTCCTTCTTTGAACACATTCTGGGGCCTCAATGTCCTTGTAATGAGGGGCCCCAAAACTGAACTTGGCACTCAAAGTGCGGCCTCTCCAGCACAGAGTACAGAGGTACAATCAGCTGATTCTATTTCTGATACAAACTGGGATGCCATTGGTCTTGGGTGCCCTGCTGGCTTATGTTCAGCCAGCTGTCAACCAGCACTTCCAGATTCTTTTCTGCTGCACAGCCTTCCGGCCACTCTTCCTGATGCCTGTAGCATTGAGTTTTTCCTTTCTGCTTTTTTTCCTCTAATTTTGAATTCCTGCAAAAATAATACACTAAGACAGGGAATCTCTTTCAGAGAACCTGTGCTCCTGTGTAAAATGATAACAGTTATGCTCCTAACACCCAGAATGAAGGAAGCTTATGGCCAATTCTGGATTTGAGAGAGCTGAATGCTTTCAAGATTTTATTAGCTGTGTTTGGTAACACTGAATTAATGTGAAAATAGCTACGTCCAAAACAATTCATCTCTGTCACAAGAAGGAATCTTGTTGCAGACAGGTGTTGTACCAGCACAGAATTCTGCTGGTATGAATTCTTGTCTTGCTGTTGGTATTTGGCAGTTTGGCTGAAAACATAAAGTCTGTGGTTCACATTAGCTGTTCAGGTAGAGGTACATGCAACAGATCCGTATCTTTGTTCATCGGATGCTTCAAATTTTTGGAACTCAGTAAGCAAAGGGAAATTGATATGAACTCCCATCACCCTTCCAAAGAGTTCTTTACAGCAGAGACATTTTTTTCAGAATACAATTAACCATTTCAAGCTTTAAAAACAGTCTGTAACACTAATGGGAGTTTCTCTCACGAGTATGTATCAACCTGAATATATGTACCTCAATAATAAAACTTATTTATCAGAGTATGTGGATGTGGTCATTTAACACCAGTAGGTAGGTAAGCGCCATCGTTCTGATCTCACACTCCTCTTCCTCAGAAGGATGGGGAGAAAATGTGAAAAAATTTCACGTGTTAAGGTAAGGGCAGGGACATCAGTCACCAGTTACTGTCACTAGCAAAACAGACTAGAAGAGTGAGAAGTGAAAGCCAACTGGTAACACCACCTTCCCTACCTCTTCTACTTCCCCACCCTGTCAGCAGCACATGGGAACTGGGAAGGGGCTGCAGTCAGTCTATAATGCTTCTTCTCTGCTGCTCCCCCATGGTTTCTCTCTGCTCCTCCTCTACATGGGTCCCTCCATCCTTCCCAAACTGATCCCGTGTGGCTTCCTACAGGCTGCAGCTGTCCAAGCACTGCCCCAATACAGGGGGCAGTACCACAGGGCCCACCCTTCAGGCACTGCCCCACATGGGTCCCCAGCAGCAGCAGCTTCCCCCCGGCCCTCCTTCCCCATCACAGGCTTCTCCCCATGGATTGCAGCTTCATCCAGGGGCTGCTCCTGCTGGGGCTCCTCATGTGGCTGTGGCTCTTCCAGGCCTCCTCTGCTGCTGCACTGTGGGCTCTTCCATGGCTGCATGTGGAGGTCTGCTCTGTATGGAACCTGTGGACTGCAAGAGGATGCCCAGCTCCTCCACGGGCCTCTCCTGTACTACAGGGAGCTTCTGCTCCATGCCTCCTCCTCCTGCACTGACCTCGATGGCTGCAGGGCTGCTTCTCTCACATTTTCTCACTCCTCTCTCCAAGCTGCAGTGATGCAGCAATTTTTCCCTTCCTTATATCTGCGTAGCTTTTGGCTCAGCTCTGGTATCTGTGGGACCCTTTTGGAGCATCTGGAGTTGGCTCTGATCTAACATGGAGCAGCTGCTAGGCTCTGCTTACAGAGCCCATCCCTGCTACAGCAGAGAGCTTTGTTTGTAAGCCCATGGAGCACAGTAGCCATGAAAGCACAGTTCTTACACAGTGTTACAGCTTCCCTGGACTTGCTGCTGAGCCTTGGGATCAGCAGAAAACTCAATATAAACAGAGTGATTTGACCATCCAGTTTGAGCAAACTGGTTATGGCTTTGGGGTCTGATAAACTTTCCTGTTAACATTCAGATCCATTTCTCTCTCCAGGAGAGAATGTTTCAGGAGAGATTCAGCTTTCCTGTATTTCTCAAGCCAGATGTTAGCAGGTGAATAGTACTTAAGCTGTGCTACAGAAGTGCATAATATATTAATGTGTACTAGGAAGAACCCGGGGAATGTAGCAAATGACCACAAATTCTTTGCCAACTGAAGGATTTTCTATTTGTCCTTGATGATATCATGTATATAATTTTAAATAATTTCTGCACTTTGGATTTTTTGTCCTTGTGAAATTTCCAGACTCCAGTATATGGAAGAACTCCATCCAGTTTTTGGATTGTTTGGGAGTCTGCCCTGGAATTGCTTCAGCAAACTTTATGGAAGTAGATGAAGGAAGCAATCATTATTGAAAAGTAAGAAGTGAGGCAAAAATTGATTACATTCAGGTAGCCCTGTTAAAATGGGAACACGCAGTAAATGAAGAAATTACAGTTGATTCAAAAAATTGAAAAGGGAGAGATATAATGATTGTAGCTACCTGAGATGATTTCTGTATCATATAGAGTGAAAAAGAACTCTTAGAATGAATAATTGATGATCATTTGATAAAGTTACTGCTGTGTTTAATAGTTATATTCCCCTTTGAACTAAGACGACAGGCTTCTCATACATAATTTCTTACCATTTTAAGTGTGGTATCATGTTCTTTGCATGCAAAGGCAGTGAGCATGGTCATCTGAAGTTTGCAACACACTAAATGATTAAATAAGTGTTGTTTATGACTTAATCTGATCATTCTAGTCTTCATAGAATAGACTCTTATTCTGTATACATATGCTACAGGACAGCAGCACCTTAATGCTGCAAACTGAACAGGTGTTTGTGATAAGAAGTAATACTGAACCTGCAAAAATGTGGAACCAAACTTTGGTTCCAAGGAAAGACAAGACAATATTTAGTTCTGTGCTGGGACTTGAAAAGATTAATACCTATTAACGGGAGGAATAAAATCTTGTACTAAGAGGTTTTAGAAAGTCTTTGTAGAAGGATATTTCATTGTCAAAATATTAGGTTCAGCTATAAATAAGCTGATGTGTCTGACACTTTATAACTGCATTGCTTTCCTTGCCTTGCTTTTCAGAATAGTTTTAGCTATTATAGTTCTTATAATTATAAAATTTTACTCTTCCTGGAGCAAGAAGATAGGTCCCTATCAGCCTCCTGACTGTACAGTACTTCAGCATGTGGACCAGAAGTCTGCTAGACCGCTTCACGATCATATATGTTGCCTGTTTTGTCCTTGGGGCTGCCTGTTGCTTGTTTTCATCCTCTTTTTCTTGTTTCTTCACCAGGTTCATCTATAAGATTCCAAAATAAGTGTGTCTAAACTCCAAGGCTCACCTTACAGCAGTATATAGAACTGTGGGAATACATGGGAGACTTCAGATGGCCTAAGTGGACGTAAATTCTGTGGCTGTGGAAAGGGGTGATCCTACAGTTCCAAGCCACCACTGGTGCAGCAGTAGCGTTTTTATGGTAATGTAATGAGTTAAGTCATTCATTGGGCTAAAAACTAACACAAACTAACATAAAACTTTGCTTCTGGCTATGAGGTCACCATATATATATATGAGGTTATACCAGTGCTGGCACCAAGGGGTGCAGGCAGGAGCAGACCTCAGGAAATCTCTAGTCCAGACCAAAACCCATACTCAAACCAGGGTCGGTTACAAAATCAGAATTTCAGAATTTTACTTGCTCTTAATTTTTTACCTCTCCTGTGAAGAAAGGCTGAGGGAGCTCAGTTTGTTCAGCCTGGAGAAGGCTCTGGGGAGGTCTCACTGTGGCCTTTCAGTAAATGGAAGCTTATAAACTGGAGGGAGACCAACTGTTTACATGTGATGGGAAAAGATTGAACAATTTTAAACTAGAGGAGATCTAGCTTAGATGTTAGGGGGGAATTCTTCACTCAGAGGGTGTTGAGGTGTTGGAACAGGTCGCCCAGAGAATTTGTGGTTGCCCCTCCCTGGAGGTGTTAATGACCAGGCTGGATGGGGCCCTGGGCAGCCTGAGCTGGGGGGGGCCAGCCCTGCCCACAGCAGAGGAGTTGGAGCTGGGTGGGCTTGAAAAAGGTCCCTTCCTGCCAAGCCGTTCTATGATTCTACTTAAGAAAACATCCGTTAGAATACATTAGCAGACTCGAAAATCTTTCGTAGTGGTTGTTCTGCAGCTCACTGTATGCATGAGTGGTTTAATAGAGCACTCCTGCAAAGATACTGCTACTGATTAGATTTTCTAAGGAGAGAATGCTTTTCAATGTAAGGTTCAGTCTTAGATGTTTTATGTGTATATCTGTTATCTTCTCCCCTAATTTAATGAACAGTGCAGCATGCTAGTGGGAGATTAAGAATTGTCTATGGGGCCCAAGTATTTTTGTACTCTTCCTTTCCATCATTCAGCATTTGGTGCACTGTGCACACTTCCAAAGGCTGCAGTTCTTTCCTTAGTCAAAAGATATCTCAATTTTCAGTTGTAACAACAGTATGGGCTTCAAAATGAATTACATTTTTTATTTGCATAATTGATTGGGAAAGTTTAGAGATAACTGGGATAGTAGGTAGTTCCTAGAAGTTCTAGCAAAGTTGAAGGGGGAAAATCAATGGATTGTATTTGTTATACGTACAGCTTTTCTACATATATAACTACTTTTATTAACACTAACTTTGTCTGCAATGTAAAAGCTATATAATTCAAATATATTCTATATTTGAAACAAAGTAAGTATCGTGTATAGACAAATCCTTTAATGTCAGAGTACTGTCTTGCCTTGTATAAGAAGTGTTCTTAAAACAACTTGTCTCAGAAAATTAAGCGTAGTGCTTCATAATTTGTGTATGTTCCTTTTACATACTGCCTAATGAATATTTATATACAGATGCCCAGACAAACAAGGCATACATCTGAATACTTAGTGCTACATTACAGCAGTGTTCTTCTCATGAAGATTTGGACTTCTTACTCTGTAACTATAATACTGATGCTAATTGCAAAGTTGACCTTCAGTCACTCCTACTTGCATGGATCAGTATGTGTTTAGAAGAAGTTACGTTTTTTGCCCTTGATTTGCATCAACAAAATTGGCTAGGTTTCAGTTTTAATGTGCTGATTATGTCCCTGCTGATGTCAGGGCCAAGACACTTCTGTTCTCAGGGAGTTTATTATTTTGTTGCTCTTCGTGAGAATGGTGAGGGAAAACTACAATGTCTTTATGTGTGTCGAATACAATGATACAGAAGTTTGCAAATAGAAAATAATTTATTACTTTCATAGTATAATCAAGCTTCAAATTCAGCAGGGATGTCACCTTCAGACAGTTACGAATGTGATTTAACTTATATGGACTCTACTTTCCCAAAGGTGTTTTTTATTAGAAAGGCTATAGATGTTAAGCATCTTCTTTCCTTTTTTTTTTTTTTTTTTTTGACAGGAAATTCTGGTGATTAACAGTCATGGCAACCATAGAGGAACTGGCCCATCAAATTATTGAGCAGCAAATGGGAGAGGTACATAAATTTTTCATCATATTTAGGAGACATTGAATAATAAAATGGACAGAGTAAAATGTAAAAACCAAAATTCGAAGAGAAAATAATTTTTAGTATACTCCAGGCTTCAGGAGACCCTTACATAGAAGATGAACTTACTGTGTCCATCTTAAAGTTATTCTGCAAAATCTGTCTTGCCAAATTTTCTCCCACAGCAGTGAAGCTACAGAAGCGTTTTCAGTAAGTGATGAGCTGCTCAGCTGTGCCTTTTGGACAGGTAGTGAGCTGCCTCATTATATAATTGCTTAGCTCACTTTCACTTAGAATCTTTACCATCAAAGTTGTCATTACAGAGCTTTTACGTTCCAATTTAGGAATTGCTTCATTTGTTGTCATTTTTGTTCTTATAAGTAAAACCTTGCTGTAGTCTTCATTGTAAAATATTGGTTGACATTTGGTGTAAATCAGAGGGAAGACTGAATTCTTGTTTCTGCTGACTCCTGTTTTTCATTTTTTGTAACCTATATGCAGAGTCTGCGTACTGCAGCCAAAGAACTTCCAGAGATGTACAGGCAGTTTGGAAGTGTGAATACTGGGCATAATACTTACGTAGAAAATTCCATCTTTAGCACTGCTTTAAATTAGATAGGAGCAGAAAACATTTATTAGTTTGAAATATCCACTCTTGGTTCCCTGTCTAGTACTGTAGATAGGATGAATTTTCAAATAATTCTAGCTCCTCTCAGTCTTGATTTCAAATATAACAGCTGGGGACATGCAGGATAGTAAATCTGTTTTGTGTAAGTTCTTATAGTTTTTAGTATTGTAGTGTCTGAGGATTACTAAGGCAGTTGTAATTTTTTTTTTTTTCTTTCCCTTTTCCTCTTTACAGGGAGAAATGGTGTGTCTAGTGTAGCTTTGTTTTGATTGTATAATTCCTTGGGGAAGTTTAGGTAGGGCTGTAATTCCTGTTTCTTGTGTTTTGGAAACTGGGGTTAGTCAAAGCTAACTGAAGCGTTTGTTCCAGTTGGAGAAGAGGATGGCAGGTTTAAATGATGATGCTTAGCTTCTGTGAGAATTATTCTCAATTTTTTGTAACGTGGTTCCATGAGACAGAGAGCTGATCTGGTGTCCCAGAGCCAGAAGAAGGGAAGGTCTTTCTGTGTTCTGCACCAGCATCTGGCTGATACAAATGGAAGATTGGAAGATTTTCTGCTGATGTGATGAGTTGATAGGTTTGGAGAAGGATCTAATGGGTACCAGAGGCAGTTTAAAGGAGATGACTGGTAGCCATCCCTTCATACTACTCATCATCTTTTGCTGAGTTTGAGATAATTCACATTTCTACATCAGGGGCACATTACTTGATTCTTGTAGGAAATTCATTTGATCCATGAGTGTTCAACCTTTTGGCTTGGCTCAGCTACATTTAGTGAATAGAAATTGTCTTGGGCCTCAAATATGTAGGTCATCATATTACATCAAAAGTAATGCCTCCCACTTACTTCCATGGAAATGACTGCCCTGCCAGAAGGGGCTTGAGTGTATTGGTGGATGGCAAGCTGGACATGAGGCAGCAATGTGCCCTTGCAGCCCAGAAAGCCACCTGTACCCTGATCTGCATCAAAAGAAGCACGGCCAGCAGGGTGAAGGACGTGATCTTGCTTCTCTGCTCTGTGCTGGTGAGACCTCACTTGGAGTACTGCATCCAAATGTGGAGTCCTCAGCATAGGAGAGACATGGACCTGTTGGAGTGCACCCAGAGGAGGGCCATAGTAATGATCCAAGGAATGGAACACCTCCCTGTGAGGACAGGCTGAGAGAGCTGGGGCTGTTCAGCCTGAAGAAGAGAAGGCTCCAAGAAGACCTGAAGGCGGCCTTTCCGTACTTGAAGGGAGGCTCTAAGAAAGAAGGGGGCAGATTCTGTGTCAGGATCTGTTTGATAGGACACGAAGAAATGGTATCAAACTAAAAAAGGGGAGATTTAGGCTGGATATAAGGGAAAAGGTTTTTACAATAAGGATGGTGAGGCTCTGAAACAGATTGCCCAGAGTGGTGGTGGAAATTCCCTCCTCGTTGTCCCTGGAGGCATTCCAGACCAGGCTGGACCAGGCTCTGAGTACCCTGATCAGCTGTAGATGTCTTTACAGCATGGGGAGGGGGTGGGCTGCATTGCCAGCCATGCTGAACCACATGCAGCCTGTGGGCCATGAGGTGGACATGCCTGATGTAATCTGTGGTTCTGTATGCTAGATATATGGTACTTTGTTTCCATAGACCTTTCAGATAACAGAGGAAAGTAGCGTATTTGTCTCAACAGAATCTCTCATATGCAAACAAAATATAGTCTTTAACAACTTGTGTGGTTATTCTGATCAGTATTTATTTATTTATTTGTTTATTGGACTGCAATGAAATCTTTATTCTGTATAAGCTGTCAAGCTGACGTTGTTTTTAGGGAATAATGGGCGGTTTTAGTTTTTACCACATATAAATTGTGACACTTTAGGGAGCAAGCATAAAGCCGTTGCAGAATATGTAGCTTATTTTGTAAAGTAGGTACAAGTTTGCATAAAAATGTGTTTGTCTGAAAGTCACTGCTTGTGCATGCAGTTTGAAAGGCTGATGTGGAATTTTTGTGTGTGCAGGTACCTCTTACAAGCTCTTAATGTCACTGTGGAGTGGACTCTTTTTGTCCTTCACTTAAGCAAAGTGAATGAATTGTGTCACTTCTGAAAGCGTTCATCTGCATGAAAAATGTGATTTTTTTAGCAGGCAGTGTTCCAAAGTGTTTTGGCTGGTAGTTTGGTAACCATTTATTTTGGTGGTGCAGGTGACTTAAGCAGCATCCCCCCCTGTCCCCAGCAGATTAATCCCACTGTCTCCTTTTCAAGGCCAGGCTGGATGGGGCTTTGAGCAGCCTGGTCTAGAGGGAGGTGTCCCTTCCTGTAGCAGGGGGTTGGAACTAGATGATCTTAAAGGTCCCTTCCAAGCCAAACCATTCTATGATTCTGTGATTTGCTCTGATGTATCTGCTTCTGGGCATTGTGGAGATCTGGCCTGAAGGTTTGACCTACACTAAAAATAGCCCATGTCTCTCTTTTGCTGCACTATTTTTTGACCTTCATCGGTGTCACAGAATCACAGAATGTCCTGTGAGTGTCCTGTTCCAGATCAATGAATGACTAAACAGCACAACGAAGCTGAAGGGACAGGATCAAGCAGCTTATAACACCTGAGACTGGTGCCAAAAGCAATGCATTTCTAGGTGAAGCTAAGTTGATTGGAATTTGTATCTCTGCTGGAAGGGAAAGTTTTGCTTTCTACTTTTTCTCCTTCAGCATCAGAACCTCCAGTCTTCTTGCCTCCTTTCCTATGCTGACGCTTCACTTACATGGTGGTGCGGTAGCGCGGTCAGGAAGCTGATCCAAGAGGAGCAAAAGTGCTCTTAACCAGTCATGAAACAGTACAGCAGATGTGGATATATATTCCTTACACCAGTTCTTGCAGAAAAATAAGTTGAATAGGAACTGTTTAAAGTGAGTGTATTTTTAAGTGAATGAATTTTTAAGTAAATGGTAGGAATTAGTATTAACAGAGGGACTGCAGGATGTGACAGAGTTTTGATCTGCATAGTCATGCTGCAAAATGCTAGGGGAGTTAATAGGGACAAATAATTAAATCCAAAGGTATCTGAAAACTCTGTGAGGATAGATGTCTTTTGTACTACAAAAAAAGCCCCACATTTCAGACCAGGCCTCTGTAGATGGCAACTGTATTTATTTTTCATGGGCAAATAATCTAATGAATAACAGCAACATTCATTTGGCTATAGCATGTGAAGAATTTTTTGAAATTACTGATAATTATTAAAGCACTTTTATAAGCTGTATCTGAGAGCAGAGGCTTAAATTTGTTTTTGGATACTATGCTTGCTGAACTCATGTGTTTAACTGATAGGTTTTTACTTTCTTGGTAGTCCCCCAGTAGAGCATTCTGTTGCTTTGGTTCTGCCTCTCTAAGGCTCTGTGAAACAAAAAGGGCTGATTGCTGTGTCTCCACTCCAGAAATTCTTCAGCTGCTTTATGTAAGCCGTTAAGATAAAAATATGTTAGTTTAAATGTAATGCAACTATGATGAAAGGTATTGTGTTCAGTAAGTGTTTCATGAACACCAGCAGTAATAATTCAGAAAATACTCGGTCCAGTGGACTGAAATGGATTTGTCAACAACTGTTCTGCTCAGTGTTTCTGAATGTCTAACTGAAGGTATTTTTAGAATGGCTTTAGAACACTGCCGTGAACAGAACTTCTTAACCAGCAAAATTACACTGTTGAATTAGATTGAATTAGATGCAAATGCAAGCACTTGTGTTCCTGGCACAGTAAGTGTCACCCCTTTCCTTAGCCTTGTGCAGAGAAATCAGAAGCTGATAAAACCTGATGGTAGTACATCCATTAAGGTAGTATATCTCTCCTTAAGGTGTCCTATCCACTGCCAATCTATTACATTTATTTATTCTTTCTAGATTACCCATTCTCAGGGAGCTGTTACACAAACACTAATGGATGGGGCAGCACAACGAATACAGATCGTCCCTTCAGATTCAGGCCTCTCTTTACCACAGCGTATACAGGTATGCTTCATCCAATATATTTTAAAAGCAGCAATGAAGTCTTTATTTTCACCAGCTTTTGTTTATGGTCCTTCTTCTTTTGCTTCATTTTATTGTCTAAAGTGCAAATATTCAGTCCTGGGTAGCAGAGATTATTTATTTATAAACAGGAAAAAAAGCATTATTCCAATGATTGTATGCTGTTTTTTTTTTTTTTAAGTTTTTAAGAGATACAAAAATAATAACTGCTGAATAGAAAAAAATGTTATTCCTAAAACTGTAATAATACTGCTCTTTAAAAACTGAATACTTTTTTTGATTTGGTAATTCAGCTGAGTTGTTGGAACATTTCAATATTTTGGAGCAGAGATGGGAGGAATACTGCATCACACTGTTCATAACAAGTCATGGGAAATGAAAAGGCTGTCTAATCTCTTAAGTGCATTAAAGTATGATGGCTTTTGGCCATCGTAACCAATGTTCTACATTCCAGTAAGCTAATTTATAGCCTCACCAGGTAATCATCTCCAATTCAAGTGAGGGTAGGAGTTTTTTGGCAATGTGGGTAGTCAAACCACAAACACAGATATGTGTATATGGAGGTTAGCAAGATATGGGGGATGAGATTTTGTATTTCATGCCTTAAAAGTCAGTGCAAGTCCTTGCAAGCTTTTTATTTTTAAATTTCCTCCTAGAGAAAAATGTCAGCTGCAGAATAGATTTTGAAGATATTCCGATAGATGTTGGTGCATACAAAACCACTAGTTTGTAAGCCAGCTGCTACTATAGCCTTGGCAGCCTTTACTTTTGCTGCTTCACTCTTCAGTGTTTTTCACTGTTTTTTCCTGTTTCAGTGCATTGCATTCAAGCTTTGCCCTACCTTTCAGGATTCTTCACAGGCACCCCATATATGATCCTGTGTTTTATTTTACTGCTTCCTGTACTACAGTCCTGGTACCAGTCTTACCTATCCAGTAGATCTTTCAGCTCCACTCCTTTTAAATGGTTCATGTACAGCTGTACCTTTAATTAATTTATATTAATTGTTGAAGTGCTGTCTCTTTATACTATTTCCTTTGTCAATATATGTATGCTGTTCTTGTGCAGCTGAACACCACACAGCCATTCAGTCGCTTTCGCAGGTGGGATGAGAGGGAGAACTGGTAGCAAAATAGAACTGTGGGTTGAGATAAAAACTATTTACTAAGACAGAAGAGGAAAATGGAAAGCAATATGAGATGATAACAATATATATAGCCAGAATACAATTACTTACCACCCACTGACCAAAATGTAGCAACACCACAACTGCTTGCCAACCCATGGCCCACCTACAACACAATGTGTCACCACTCACTGACAGATGCCCCACCAGTCCCTGAGCAGTGGCTGCCCCCAGCCCTGTAGTGCAAAGCTATTTAATGTAATTCCAGTATATCAGGGCCTGAGTGTAGGTTGACATATAAAACCATGAGCCTTCATTGTTGAACAGCAAGACAGTTATGTTGTTTCAAAACCAGTGTCAGTTGTCTAAACCCTTGTTTCAGCTTTTGGGACAGGGTTAGGGTGGAAGAGAGAACTACATTTGGACAATGACTATAGCTACTGCAAATATTATGCACATAGAAGAATTATTTATAGGAACAGTTTTGTTCTGGGGATCTTTATATAGTTTTTGATCATCACAGCTAGCTGAAAGATTACTTGTTTCTAGTGCTTTGTCCCTCGTCTTTTTTTACCACACTCAACAATTCTTGCTTCAGAGTGGATGGCAAGTGCTTTGGGATAATGGTTTTCTTTTGATATATTTGGGACAGCACTCAGGAGAATGATGTAGTAGGCATCTACAAACATGGCAGCAATATAAATAATAACAAACTCAATGGGAGACAGAAATCAGTAACAAAAACTTTCTACAAAGCAGAATTTATTGTAAAAAGTAAAAAAGCTTGTACAGCCAAATGCATCTCAGTGAAATGTTATATTAGTTTTCAGCTTATAATTAATATTTTTTGCTTTATCTGGTTATTCTTAAATGCATATGAAGAAATATCCAAGATCTTGACATTCAAAATCATGATTAAAAAATACTTTAAGACATATTTTATTAGTTACTCATTTTAGGGCATGTTAGCACTTTGTTTCAGTGGTCGTTTCACTGTGGTAGGCAGCTCAGCACCTCTGTACCACTCTCACTGAATCCTCCACAAAAAGATGGGGAGAAAACACAATGAAAAAAAAAAAGCTTGTAGGTTGAGATAAGGATGGGAAGATCACTCTTGAGATATTGTCGCAGGGAAAGCAAAGGGATTAATATAATTTATTTGCTACTGATAAAAGACTATAGCAGTGAGAACTGACAGCCAACTCCCCATCCACCCTCTTCTACCTTCTCCCTTCAAAAAGGGAAATGCAGTTTGTGGTCCATAGTGCTATATCTGTGCCATCTTCCATGGTCCCTCTCTACCACTACTCCACATGAGGTCCCTCCCACCAGATGCCATCCTTCCCAAACTGATCCCCCACGTGCTTCCCACAGGCTGCAGTTCTCCAACCATTGCCCCAGTGCAGCTCCATACTATGGGGTCTGCCCTTGAGGCACTGCTCACACGGGACTCCTCCATGGCTGCAGGGCTCTGTGTGGTACCCATGGGCTGCTGGGGGATGCCCTGCTCCTCTGTGAGCCTCTCCTGTGCTGCAGGGAGCTTCTGTTCCATGCCTGGAGCACATCCTGCCCTCCTCTTGCATTGGCCTTGGTGGCTGCATGGCTGCATCTCTCACATTTTCTCACTCCTCTCTCCCAGCTGATGCAGTGTGGCAGTTTTTCCCTTCCTTATATCTGCACTCCTAGAGGCACACCCAGCATTTCTCATGGCTCAGCTCTGGCAGTAGTGGGTCCCTTTTGGAGCAGCTGGAGCTGGCTCTGATCTGACGTGGGGCAGTAGTGGGCTCTGCTCACAGAGGCTCTGCTCACAGAGGCCATTCCCTGCAGCCCCCAGTTACCAAATCCTTGCCACCTAAAGCCAATGCATAGAAAAGTTGGATGTCATGATATTAAATTTTCAAATCCCTTTTTTTTTTTTTAAGCTAGTGCTCTGTGTTTAAACATGTTTTTCATTATTCCTAGAAAAGTAACAGAGGATTATTGCAATATTTAATTTATTGAAACTGTATTCAAACAGAAGTCAAAATATATTAACAGGCAAGGCAATAAAGGAAAAGAAAAAAAATTACTATCTTACCATCAGGGCTCTTAAATGAAATAGACACAAGAAATATGCTTTTAAGCAGTCAGTCCAGAGCTATTATATTCCTGCTTTATAGCATGATCCCTTTGGCAACATTGAGTTTCACATTATTAAGAAACAGAATGTGTTGTCTGTGGGGCCAGGTGGATTTCCCTAAGAAGTGGTTTTCTTTTCCCCTCTGATTATTTTCTCTTACCTCAACATTTAAAGTACCTGAATTCAGGCTATTATAAGGTTGTTATACTTTGAGTTGTTCCATTTTCTAAGTCCCATTGAGATTCAGGCAGAGCTTTTGCAGGCATCTGACTGTAAGAATTCAGCTGCAGACAAACTGTTCTTAATTATTTAAACTGCTTTCTGTTACATCGATCAGTTGTCAGACCTGGAGAGTGCAGAAAGCTTGTGTGCAGATTGAATAGCTCAGTATGTTATAGATACATAACAGTGTATCCACGGTGTCATGCATTGAAAACTTGGTGGGCATCTCCCTAGAATTCCAGGAAGCAATTTGAAGAATTCAAACTGTTTAGTAGCAGTGAAGTGAGCAATGTGAAGTAGAAATAGCTCTTCTGCCGTATTTATCCACAAATACATAACAATTTTAAAAATAAGAGGCTGGACTATAAGCTGGAAATCAGATAATTCAGTTCACATACATATAAAAAATTCAACCTTAGCTTGGAATATGTTGTTTTTTAATATACTTTGTGTAAACCTAACTAGACAAAGTGTATGCCTTTCCATTTTCAGGTTTACATTTGCACTTTGAAATTTTGATAGTGAAACAGATCTTCAATATGAATATCTTTTAAAGAGCAGGTCTAAATATTCAAGAAAGAGCGCAGTGTTCTGTGTTTGACTTTGTCCATGCTTGCACCCAGTTGGGGATTACATGCATTGGATTTCTCCTGATCCCAATGGAGTAGAGGTGTTTGGAGGTGGGGATGGAAAATTGGGTAATTTATTAAGTAATATTCTGGGTAATAGTCAGAAATGACATGAGAAATAAAGATTATAAAATGAAGAAAAATGGAATGTGAGGAATAAGTTAAGGAAAGAAAGGAACTGAAAGGTAAGGAAGTTTGCCTTCTAAGGAATCAGAAAGGAACTGAAAGAGGAAATAAAGGACTGCTGTAGTCATTTGTGGCTCTGAATGTGTGGATGCCTTTGAAAATTGAATGGAAAACCCTTTATTCATCATATTAATAACTGCTTTGGGGTTTTTGTCCTGCCATGCTACCCTCAACCCCAATCTCGTGACAGCTCTAGTTCTTGTTTTATATTTTTAGCCCTTGGAATTTTATAATTTTAGCCCAAATAAGTTCTTTGCAAAGAAATAAAGAAGTTGGACACCTAGTGTTATTAGCAAATTTGATTGATCTACAGTTAAAAAGTAGCTTGCAGGAAGCAGTCACTGCAGAACGATTCTCCTTAATGTCTATAGTAAGCCAGGCAGTCTGACATGAAGGTTTTGGGGAGAAAGGCAAGAAGTGATAAAAGTGAGTTTTGTAATGGAACATATATGGAATCTTGATTATTTTACCCAAGGAATATAGGATTATAATCTTAAAACAAATTTTGCTAAAAATGGGGGCTTACTGGAGAGTTCTTTAATAAAAGTCTGCTATATTTGTGTTTGAAAATAGGAAAAATGGAAAAGAAAAACCCAAACCAAAACTCAGCAGCCTGTAGGTTTGTTCTTGATTAAGAAATGACACATGAAAATTAGTTTATTGGTTTAAAAAAAAAAAGAAAAAAGTGTCCAGGAGAGAGATTCTGTTTTGCTTGCATATTTTATTTAGGAACATATATGTAAAAATACAGAGCAAAAACCCTGAAGCATAAATTGTTTATAAAGATGCAACAAGATTTTTTTGCTGTTTGATACTTTTCTTTTGTCACTTTGAAGTGTACAGTTGGTGCTGAAGGATGTTTCTTGTGAAGCATCCCAATATGGAAGGTGCTAAGGGCTGTGCACGGCATGCAGTGAGTGCAAGAGTTAAGGTTTCTCAGAACCTCATGGGTCTTAGGGCTGAGTTACACACACCTCAATTTCTGAATGCTGTAATGGCCAGCGGGTTTGGCACTACTGTAAAAGCATTGGCCATTTATAAAACTTGGATTTTAATTCAGGCTTTGATTTCAAATGTAAGGGTGACTTGAGTGCGTTCAAAAGCAAGTGAAAATCCAAGATTTTGCCTGAGTTTTTGTAACTCTTGTGTGACAGAGGGGAAGTCAGTCCTGCTTCACAAATGTTAAGGGCAAAATTCCAGTTTTCTTCAAGTGCCCAGGCTGGGCCCCAAAGGTGATCTTAAATTACCATAACAATTTGAGATAAATGTATTATTAGATTGTCACAGATCAGCAGACGGGCCAGAAGATTCAGATTGTTACAGCACTTGATCAGAGCTCAGCAGGCAAGCAGTTCATCCTAACAAATCATGATGGCTCTACCCCAAGCAAGGTGATCCTTGCCAGACAAGATTCCACTCCAGGAAAAGTTATCCTAGCAACTCCAGATGCTGCAGGTGTCAACCAACTGTTTTTTGCATCCCCTGATATATCTGCACAACACATCCAGGTAGATAATCCACTTTATTTCATAATTTTGATTCAAATGGAATAAGAAGAGATGTTTTATTTCCAAATATGTATGTCTGGGTTCTCCTTTTTTGAGGTTTTTATATTTTTTAATGCTCTACTTTTCCTTGCATTAGGAGTTAGCATCGCTGCTTAGAAATTACAAGGAAAACAAATTTTTTTGGTAAACGTACTGCTTTTAAAATTTATACCCTGGCATGTGAGATTAGAAAGAATACTGTTACTTTTATTGTCGTTTCCAGCTGTACCAACAGTCCTTTTTTATTGCTGCTTCATTGACTCTCCGTCTATATTCACATATTGAAAAAATAATCTTTTCATCCTTGTCTTTATCACTCAGCATTTCCTTCTACTTGTTTTCCTTTTCATATGCCGTTGTTCATACACTGTCCACTGCTGTGTGAATTGTATTTCAAGGCAGTTTCTCAGACTATGAATAGGGAAGGTCATTACTCAGTGGCAATGGGAAAGCAGCACTAAAGATTCTGCATTTACAAAACCCAAAATGGTTTGAGATTCTCTATAGTCAGGGTTGTATCTCCCTAAACTGATCCACGGTGCCCTTTACTCCTACACACACTGCATGTGCTGCTTCCTCAGTCTTCATACTCCAGCTTTCTAGTCTTCTACCCCATATCCCCAGCAGAGCAGAGGGTGATGGCACTGATTCCAAGGGTGTGAAGAACATGCACAGAAGACCTGGGAAGTGTGAGCTCCTTCTGCGTGAAGTGGGGTGTTATTGCACTGCAGCTAACACACAGTTTTTGCATGTTGGTTTACCCATGTACATTTATTCTGATGGTAAAATACATCTGTGTGGCAGTCCAGGTGACAGGAGGGTAGCTGCCATTCCTTAGTGCAGTACCTTACAGCTGTACAGTGGCCAGAAACGGGTCTTAAATAAGTGTTAAAAACTGGGCAAGAAAATAGTGATCCTTCTGAGCATTTCCTTTCCCTTCCATTACTTGATGATTTAGAGGACCTCCTGACCTGGAGATTGCAGTGAGGCCTTCTTTGATAACTGCCACTAAAGTTAATGACTTCTTTGTTATTTCTAAGAGACCATTCTAACAGACCATTTGTGTCTTGGTCTGTATAATAGCCTATGGCAGTAAAAACTAAAAAAAGGAAAAAGATTCTATTGCTTCTATAAATCACTGCCATAGCTCCTTCAAGTAATTTCTTTTCCCAAAGGAAGAATCCTGATCTTTTACTTTACTGCTTTTCTGGGAGCCAGTCCACAGCTCTGATTCACATGTTGCACGTGTTGTGCAAGCAGCAGCAAAAAAAGCAATTCAGTGGAAATTTTAGCCTGTGTCTTTGTGTTTTAGATGAACTTCAACAAAACTTTAAAACAGCAGGGTATGATCTGATGTAAACCTCAGAAGAAAGTTATTTTCAAAGAGAATTTAAAAGATGAGAAGTGTGCTACCCTTGTATAAAGGCTGAGGTACTGAGGGGAGGTCTGGATAAGAAGTTAAAAGCTGTAGTTTTGATTGTACATTTTGGGCAACATAGGAGGGTCTGAGAAACAACAGGATGTGCTCTCACTTAAATTAGATTAGATTAGATTAGATCTCAGTTAGATTGTTCTATTGTCAGTTACTATACAGTTGCAGAGACTGTATTTCACTGACTTTCAGTGAGGATAAAAAATAATGCCATTAATGTGCTTTTCAACTCCATATTCTTTGGGCTCTTCCATACTTTCTGTCCTAAATAGTCTTTCATCTGCAGTTTTGCCTTTCACATCATTCTTCTTATTTCATCACCTTCACTTGAAATACTCATTCATTTGCTATGCAGAAAATCTCTCCTTTATTGCATCTTATCTTTGCATTGACACTTTGGAAGGCTCTTTCTCCCATCATCTTTTCCACCCTCAGTGGCTCTTCATCTCAATAAACAAATTTATTCCGTGTGTTCAAAGTCAGTTGGTGAGTTCTGTGTGTCTGGGATTTTTATCTCCTCCTGGGCCAAATTTGTAGTCCTTCCTTACGTGGAACTTACAGCTTCAGGGCAGCAGGTTTCATCTATGGAAGGACTTAAAATTTGTTTACTTATTTTCTATAAAGTCACAAACATGTATAACAATGGGAATTAGAACAAAATGAAAGGTTAACATTCTTTTAACTTGTCATGATTATTTTTCTTAAGAAGATGTTATGTTGAAAGAAAAACATAATAGGTGAATTTCTGAGACAGTGTTATTAATAAAGGCTAACTAGAAAGAGAGAGACTTGTTAAACATTCCCTTATATAATCCTATGCTGTTTTCCAAACGAGTGATCTCTTAATTTTCTCTTCGGAAGATGAGGTACCTTCTCTTCCAGAAAGTTACCCTTATTGTTATCAGAGGTCTTGTCTTGAATAAGCACAGAGATAATGAAGGTGTCAGACTTCCCATTAAGATGCTGTAGAAGTTAGAAACTCATAACATTTCTAAATTATATCACTTTTTAATTGGAAGAATGTGCTGTTTCCCACTTCATGTTATTGTCAAGATAATATTTGCTTGCTGCTTCTTGTTGTGATCCTTTTTTTGAGTTCCTTTTTTACGCTGGTTATTTTTCTGTGCTTTGTTTATCTCATTGAGATGGATCTTTTTAAGGTCAAATAGAAGGCCACAGTGCCTGCCCTGTAGTGCTGTGGTTCTCATGTGCTTAATGATGCTTTTCAGGTGCCAGAGATAAATGAATAAGACATGAATGTAGTCATAATGTCAAACTGTTACTGAAAACCAAAGCATACACCACTTGATAATTCATGGCACTGCTTAGAGTTCATTTTCTATGGCTCACCGTCTCTGTCTATTATAAAAAAAAAGAATTGACAAATCAGAATGTAGAAATAACAGCCTCTACATGGCAATCATAATTTACATTAAAAAAATAAGTTACATTCATTAGAATGTAAATACAGAATTCAACAAAAGGTATGTATTCAACTAAACGAGTATGCAGAGGATAAATGTTTTTGAAAATGTCAGCCCATTTTCCAGAGGCAATATTGAATTTTTTTCTTGAATTTTTTTTTGGAAACATTACAGGTAAAACTTTGGTTCCATCCACTGGGAGCACAGTGCATGGCAGGTAGCTCTGCTCCTTTGTGTCTATGAAGGCTGTAAAATGTAGTCAAGAAAACCTCATCATTTGTCGATTTGGTCCCTTAGAAGAAATCACAAAGGTGATTTACTGCAATATTTCTTGATGGTGAGAAAAATAAAAATGACATCATTTTCTACTTTCTTTCAGATTTTAACAGACAACTCTCCCAATGAGCAGGCCCTAAATAAAGTGTTTGATCTGTGTGTTGTGTGTGGAGACAAGGCATCAGGTATTTCACTTCCTTTTTTTTAATAAGGTAGTGCAATTTTATAACAGATGTTTAAAGTTCTTCTTAAGGGATATAACAGTTTGCATACATATAAATACATGTATGTACATACACAAACAGAAAAGATAGACTGCCTTTTTCAGCAGAGAATTAAACTAAATGTTTCTTTAATGTCTGTGGGTGGGACTTGTTTACTTCTATTTTACTTTAGAAATTCAGTATGTTTTCTACCAGATAATTTTTGCCTTTTTTTCCTTAGGCTAATACGTTTTATTTTGTATTGTAAAAATTGGCTGAAAAAATGACTTAGGTGACTTGCTGTTAAGAGCTTTTTGTTACTTAAAAGGAGATCATGCAATGAACTGTGTTGTTGTTGTCAAGTCAGAAACAGGTGAGAAACCTTTTAATTATTTAAAATATGAAACCAACAGGTAAAGAAGACATTGTAGGTATGTGAAAAGAAGTGCTAACGTGAGATTTCTGTGGGACAGCTCGTTATTTGAAGAACCACTATTAGAACTGCAAAACTGCATTATAGTTCCAGTTAGAAATGAACAGTGTATTCACTGGCAAAATAGAGTGCTAAGGTAGGAAAAATGTTTCACGCACTGAATTTTGCGTAATGATAACAAGAGATTGGAAGGAAGTGTGGTGGGAGTTCTGTACTGAAGAACTCTGATGCTTTTCCAGCTGTCTCCCACATTCCTCTTGCATGTGTGCCTGCCACCAGGTATTTCAAATCTGTCAGAGCTGAAATTACTGAGAGGGTAGAAGGGAGCTGAAGTTACTTCTCTTAGAAGGGAGAGCTGAAAGCTCCTTTTTCTTTTCACTTGGTAATGCAGTGTAAGAGAAATGAGATGTTAACTTGGCTCTTTACTTATTTAGCTACAATTAGACTACGTGGGGAAAATGATTGCTCCCTCAGAACATTCTTATGCTTTATCTGGTTGGAATCTGTGTGATGATCCTCCAGCAATAATATCGAAATGTGATAACTGCAATTAAATACTTCCTTTTGGGAAGCAGTGGGAATGGAGGACAGGGAAGGGAAGCAGATAATGTTAGGATTTTATCGTGAGAGCCAGTAGGATGTAGCAAAAACTGCTTAAAAAGAAAACAATCTAAAATCTTTCTACTGAAGCCAAATTTAGCTTGAAATTGTATCTTCTCTAAATGTATCAGATTTCACCTTTCACAAAAGAAATTTCTGCCAAATATAGGATGAAAAGGTAAACATAAGATCTAGCTGGTGTGCTCCAGCTGGGAGAGCTTCTACGGATCCCCAGCATAGGGCTGGACTGTACCATGAGAGTGATCCCAGGAGCAGTTTGCTCTGGCCTGACCCATACGTACTGAGCCCTGGGAGTGAATTTAGGCAGAGCCATGATTTCCTGAGCGGCTGTAGGTGCCTCCTGTGTGATATGAGCTGTTACACAGACTGCTTTGCAGACACCTCCAAACTGAGTGCAAGAAGCTGCATCAAAGAGCAGGTGAATAAAGAAGGGGACAGACTGTTCAGCAGGGTCTGTTGTGATAGGATGAGGGGGAATGGTTTCAAACTAAAACAGGAGAGATTTAGATTGGATATAAGGAAAAAGTTTTTTTACTGTAATGGTAGTGAGGCACTGGCACAGGTTGCCCAGAGAGGTGATGGATGCCCCATCCCTGGAGAAATCCAGAGTCAGGATGGAGGGACACTGAGCACCCTGACAGCAAGGCAGTTGGACTGGGTGACCTTTAAGGGTTCCTTCCATTTCAAATGCAAAGCTCAGGTGCTTTGCAGGATGGATATTATGAATATGGTTATATGTGAATACTTACCAGCCTGGCTGCTATTAAAATGTTACACTTAGTGATATTTTATATATAATGCTTTGTAAATTTCTTATTTAGTCCTATGTTAATACGATTCTGATAAAGTAGAAACCAGAATTTCTGGAAATTTCCGGCAGAAAAAAGTTTGAGAATCTAAAAATATTTTTTCCCTTAAATTATTTCATATTTGAAATGTATTTCTGTAACATGTCCTACACAGGTCAGAGAGCAGCTTTGATGCCTCCACAGTACGTATTTTGTTCGTAGGTGATTTTGGTTTAATTTTTTTCTTCAGGATCATAGAATTGTCACTGTTGGAATTGTCAGAAATGCCTTAATCGGAACTTGAGCTTTTTAGTAGTATTTAAAATTTGTGCTATGGAAGAATCAAAACAATTTACTTCTGAAAAATAATTAAACTTGACTTTCTGTAGTACATCCTAGCCATAATTTCTGTACGTTGGTATTATAAATTAGAAAATTCACTACAGATTTTTAAAAAAATTTGGTCTAGCTCTATTAGTTTATTTCTCTCATTCTAGAGCTTTACTCAAAGAACTACTGGTGTAACATTGTCTGTTAGGAAAGTGAAAGGTGAAAGCAGAGCTTTGGAATTATCACTTACTGCTGACAAATACAATGTTTGCAGATTCCATATTTCCATTAGCTATAATGCATAACATTTATACAGCTGAATTTGTAATGAGCAATAGCAGGACTGGACTCCAGGGGCAGTACAAAAATTGGAAAAGAATGTATACATTCAGAGTTTATTCTGTGTTGTTGCTAATTTGTTCTCTTAGCTTTTTAACACTGCTGTCAGGAGGTTCAGCAAGAACTTCGTAAGCAACTTCGTTATTTGTTCTTTCAAGATATGTATCCTGGTGAAGTGCTTTGAGCTAGAAATACGTTTCACTTACATTTTTGTTGTTCTGTATCCACGTGATTTAAAGTTTGTAACCTACGGAGAAAAAACAAGAGTGTTTTGAGAAAAGAAAATGTCTAAAGAAGAAGAGACAATACAGTGTAAAATTAACGTCATAATTTATGTTGTTCCGAAACCAGGACGTCACTATGGAGCAGTAACTTGTGAGGGTTGCAAAGGATTCTTTAAAAGGAGTATACGGAAGAATTTGGTGTATTCGTGCCGAGGAACAAAGGACTGTGTCATTAACAAACACCACCGGAATCGCTGTCAGTACTGCCGGCTGCAGCGATGCATCGCCTTCGGAATGAAACAAGACTGTAAGTCTGGAAAAATTACCCATCATTTCAGCTGGTTGGTTGGCTAGGTTGTTTTTTTCTGAGTTATAACTAACTATAAACACTCATAATCGTTATTAAAATTGAAGATTAAGTAAAAAGGACAAAAATAAGGAGCGTTTCTTAGAGTGTAATTTGTGATGTGACTTACTAGCTGCGTGCTGTTTTATTAGCTGTGCAGTGTGAGAGGAAACCTATTGAAGTGTCAAGAGAAAAGTCTTCAAACTGTGCAGCTTCTACAGAAAAGATCTACATTCGGAAAGATCTTCGCAGCCCATTGGCTGCAACTCCAACTTTTGTAACAGACAATGAAACAGCAAGGTAAGTGCATTCTATTGTAGACAAGCTACCTCTGTTTCTTGAAATCACCCCCAAATTGACATGCGTGCTATTTTGTGCCAGATCAACAGGTCTGCTGGAATCAGGAATGTTCGTTAACATTCAGTCTGGAATTAAAAGCGAGCCTACAGTGCTGATGACTCCAGATAAGGTATATGATGACATGACTGATGTATTAAGTGCTTTTGGTTTGATTGCTATATAACAGTGTGCGTAGGGATGGAAGATTGTTCTCTTTTGCTGTACTTTTGGTAAATTCAGGTTTTAAAACATTGCCCAGTGGTGCAAATTTTTCTCTTCCAAAGAATGCTGTTAGTCCTCCATAGAAAGAATGTGAAAAGCTCTACAAAGTAAATGCCTCCCTTCTTTTAGACAACTTTGAGGGCATTTTCCTTTGTATTTGTCAATTCTGACACTTGGAAGTTTTTTGATTCAGATAGAGTAAGGCATTTGCAAAATCTCACATGGCTATGGCATTATCACAGTGCATTTCATAAATATTGTTAGCTTTTTCCCCCTGTATTGTTTTTCTTCTTTTTCTTCTTTTTTTCTTTTTTTTCCCAAAGCTATCTCATGAGTGATCTTTTTTCTAATGTATTTCTGAGCTGGCTTTCCTTTGTTTCTATTGTGGTATGGGTAATGATCCACTAAAGTGATGTGATAATGGCCCTACATATGCACAGTAGGAAGCTTTTATATTTTTCTAGCCAATACTAAATCACCTCATACTGTTTTTGTGCATTTTGCCCTCCATCTGTCTGCAAAATTTTACCACTTTCTTGTTTATGTGTGGATGGAAAGAAGATGGTAAAAATATAACCTAGTGCAGTCTTATAATCCCAACAATGGACTCGTGAGTGGAGATGCTAAAATTTCTCCCTGTAGCTTGCATCTGTAGCATTCTTTCTGAAAGCAATAGATAGCTGTTACTTGTAAAACCAAATGTCTAAATATTTCATATTTTAGAAACAGTGCAGTGTCTAACTGCTGCATGATGATTACCCACTTATTGAAAGTAATATTTTTCTAACAGGTCTATTCTCAAGCTCAGTTCTTCATTAGTGTAAGAGAGTTCTTCTGTTTCAAGTTATCTACTGCCAATAAGAAAGAATTAAAAGCTGTATTTTTCTCTTAGGTTGAAGCCTGTCAGGGAGACTTAAGTACCCTGGCAAATGTGGTGACATCTTTAGCAAACCTCAGTAAATCCAAAGATCTGTCACAAAGCAGTACAGAGCTCTCTATGATTGAGAGTTTAAGTAATGGAGATGGATCGTTACCTGAACTTCAGCAAGAAGAACAAGGAAGTAGTGATGTTACAAGGTAAAGCATGTTCCACTTGAAATGTTACGCTTCTCAAGAATGTCTCTGTCAGTTCAGAGATAATTCATTAAATTATCATTGTTTAGGTGGCACAAACTCATGTTAAGGTTCAGTCTTGTAAGATTCTTGCAAAGGAAATCATAAAAAAGTTCAGTTATAGACAGAAAATACTTCTAGTTGTTTGTTCAGTTTGGGTATTAGGCAAAGGCTCTTCAGCAGAGGGTGGTGGGCATGGCACAGGCTTCCCAGGGCAGTGGGCACAGCTCCAAGCTGCTGGAGTTCAAGAAGCATTTGGACAGTGCTCTCAGACACAGTCTGATTTTGGGTGATCCTGTGTGGAACCAGGAGTTGGACTCGATGATCCTTGTGGGTCCCTTCCAACTCAGGAGATTCTGTGATTCTTTGAATTTCAACTTAAATCTTTCAGCTGATGTTAAGGAGGACTAAAAGGTAAGAATGAGATGTGTTCGATTTTTGTATTGTATTCTTAGTATTAAGGGAAACTGTTTCTTGAAGATCTCATCTGTAAGTAGTTTATTACTCCTAAATATTAATTGTCTTAAAAGCTCAAAAAGCATTTTATTTGGAGGCAGGAAAACTCAAAGAATGCTCGTTGCTGATACAGATGCATTCATTATGTATTTAAAAATTTATGTCTTGCACAGGTTTTAACTCATCATACATGGGATGTATCTTTTATAGTACTTCCTTGTTTATTCCTTCAATGAGAATCATGTTCTTCCTTGATTGTCACTCCATGCAGGCTTCTGACAGCTGTCTCAGAAGTATTCTTTTACACTCCATCTATATTATACATGTGGTATTGAAAATGCTTGTGTAGAATAAACCAATCAAAAAAAAAAAAAAGATTAGAATGTAATGAAGCAGTTTATACTGACCCAAAATACATGGTTTTCCCTATAGTGCAGTCACCTACTCAGTGTAATGTCAAGCAGAACGAATGCGTTCTTTTTTCGTATGTGCTGCTTGTAAAGTTGATGTGACCTGTTTTATAGCTGCTGGTCTGGACCTTTGCTGTGTTCTCCTAGTTAAATCATATGCAGTGTAAGGAGTACTATTATGCTGTGCTGATAAACATCAAAGGCTGTTCAAAAAGGTGCAGTTAATAGTAAGGTTGCATGATAATCTTTCATTTCTTTGTTTCCAGGTGCTTGCTTTTGTTCAGCTTTAAAAATCCATCTTTGAAAAGCCACTGAGTTCTCAGCCGGAGTGTGACAGAGCTCTGACTCAGTGTAGGCGTGCTCTTATCTTGTGGGTAACCTCACAGATTTCCAGTGGGGACTTTCAGTTCAAATATTCCTGTAAAAGGGAAGTTGTTACCCAAGCAGAAAGTACATTTTTAATCAAATTTTTGATTTCCTTGCCAGGCCTTGTGCCAACTTGATCTTACTGACACAGATGTGTACTGACAAAAATGAGTTCAAGGGGTTTCAGAAAGCAGGTTTTATCTATCAGTGTTTTGCATGCACTCTGTTATATTCCGTTGCTTGCAGATAGAGTAGTTCAGCTTTCAGTTTTGCTGGCACTAATTTAGTGTATAACTTTGTTTCAGGTATTTTGCTGCTTGTATGTTATAATGTTACATGCTTTGTCCTCTGATGGCTTCATTAGCAATGTTGGAATTTTACAGCTAATCAGAAGTCCTGTCACATGTCTGACTGAGCTCAAGGAAAAGAGAACCAAAGTTGTTTCTAACACAGAGTGTCAATACCATGGATCTTAACGCTGATTGTACCTTTTTTTGTTACTTAGCGAGCCTTGTTTCTGTAACTTCAAGGCAAGCTGTAGTCTGGATCCTCTTTTTCTTAGTTTTATATTGCAGCCGTTGTTCATTTTGAAGCATAGCATATGAAGGGGAACCCACAGCGTGGAGCTGCTGGGAAACAGAACTTCTGCAGGCTTTCTTCTGCAAGTTTAGGACGAAGAAGGGAGAGGACTCTTTGAAAGCAGACTTTCAAGAATAATTTGGAAGAAAAGTAACATGGGCAGATGTGGTTACAGAGTGTACATGCCCAACATATTCAAAAGGGACTGTTTTACGTAAACTAGAATAATATGTAGAGACACATAACATTACCTACGGCGGAGATCTTGTTCCTGACTTACATTTCTGTCCCTGCTACATGCAAGAGGTCTGAAGAGATCCTCTTTTTCTTAAGCAGCTGCCATAGAGCTGCTGGTTTTGCATATTATACCCAAGGCTACCAAGAGGGAGACCTGAAACTCAGATTTTCCTCACAGGAGACAGATGATGTAACTTCAGAGCTTACCCCTGAGTGTCTTCCCTTTATGCCCACCTTTGACATATTTGAGATGGGAAGCTTCCCAGGTACATCTGTGGTGCCCACTTGGGCATGCCTCAGTCTCCCTCCTGTATATGGACCCAGAGGGTAGTAGATCATTTACCATCACGTGAGACAGCATCAGCAGCTACTAGGTGTTGTGTTGTTTCTTTGGATTGTAAATGGTTGTATTGAACACAGTAAGCACTTAGACTTTTTTATTATTATTTTTTTGTCTATTAATAAATGTAAATAGTAAAGGAGCATGGAAGAAGAAAAGGTAGGTAAAGTTCTATTTCAGAAATCAGGAATTTTGATTGGACATCAATTCGGTAATTTTAGATTCTGTGGCAAAAACGTATGCATTCAAATTGAGAATCATCTCAATGCACACCTGTAATCAGCTTTTGTAAAGCCCTTAGACGTCCGTGTTCGATCTTCTTGTGCCACTGTGCAAATGATACTGTTATCTGAGTATGTCATCTGCCTGTAGGCAGTAATCAGGGCTGTGTCTGTACACAGATCAGATTTGCTTCTCAGGTGTGTTTGTGCACAAAGTGGATGTGTTATCAAGCAGAGAAATAAAGTCGTACAGCTGTTCTGACCTGGACAAACTGGAGAAGTGGGCCCATGAAAACCTAATGAGGTTCAGTAAGGCCAAGTGCAGGATGCTGCACTTGGGTTGGGGCAATCCAGATATTTTACAAACTGGTGGAAGATCTCCTTGAGAGCAGCCCTGCGGAGAAGAACTTGGGGGTCCCGGTGGACAAGAAGCTGGACATGAGCCAGCACTGTGTACTTGCAGCCTGGAAGGCCAACTGTGTTCTGGGCTGCATTAAAAAAGGGGTGGTCAGCAGGGAGAGGGAGGTGATTGTTCTCCTCTGCTTGGCTCTTGTGAGGCCCTGCAGTACTGCATCCAGGCCTGGGGCCCCCAGTACAAGAAAGACATGGAACTTTTGGAATGGGTCCAGAGGAGGGCCACTAAAATGATCAGAGGGCTGGAGCAGCTCTCCTATGAAGAAAGATTGAGGGAACTGAGCTTGTTTAGCTTGGAGAAGAGAAGGCTCCGGGGAGACCTCATTGTGGCCTCACAATACTTGAAGGGAGCGTATAAGCAGGAGGGAGAACAGCTGTTTACATGGAGGGATAGTGATAGGACAAGGGGGAATGGTTTTAAACTGAGTTGGGGAGGTTTAGGTTAGATATTAGGAGGACGTTTTTCACACAGAGAGCAGTGATGCTGGATCTGGAACAGGTTGCCTAAGGAGGCTGTGGATGCCCCATCCCTGGAGGCATTCAAGGCCAGGCTGGATGTGGCTCTGGGCAGCCTGGTCTGCTGGTTGGCGACCCTGCACATAGCAGGGGGGTTGAAACCAGATGATCATTGTGGTCCTTTTCAACCCAAGCTATTCTGTGATTCTATGATTCTATGATTCTCATTCTGACATCCACAAGTAATGTTAGCGCTCATGCCTTGGTCTTCGCAGAAATCACTGCCCCACATCGAAGGATACTCAGAATGGTACCAAATGAATGTGAGTGCTTTCTCTCACGTATTTAGAGGTTGTTTTCTCAAATTACGTTGAATAGCCCAACTGTAACTGATTACTTGCAGAAGCTTATTCCTTCTGCTTGTGCTTCTTAGGAGCAAAAATCTCCAAAATTTACACACGCAGTAGTTGTTTTTAACAGCAGTCTGATCTTTATGTGCTTAAAATGCTCATGCCAGCGCTCTCAGTAAACATCGCTTAAGAGATCTCAAAAGACAAACTGTGATTCAGCAGCACAATCAGTCTGTCAAAACTGTGAATTTGTTGGCAACTAGTGTGAATAGGATATGCTGTTAATTTTATTGCTTCAGAGACTGTATAACTTGGAGTTTTCAGTAATTTTACTTGGTTGAGTGTCAGGAAAAGTATATTACAGTCTTATATTTTCCAAGTCTGCTTATTTGAAACAGACTTCTAACTACGGGTTTCAGGTATGCAGGTTCCTCGTAAATTGAAACTATTTCAGAGATGAAGTTTTCTTGTTTTCTTTTATTTTTTCTTGATCTTACAGGGCATTTGATACTCTTGCAAAAGCATTAAATCCTGGAGAGAGTGCAGCGTGCCAGAACTCTGAAAGTGTTGAGGCCAACGTGCAGCTTGGTGGTGGAGAAACAAGCATGAATATCGTTGAAATAGAGGGGCCGCTACTCAGTGATGCACATGTAGCATTCAGGGTACTTAATACTTTTTTATCGTTGGCTATTTCTAACCATTTTAACATCGTAAGAAAATTAATGATCTGATTAAGTCATCTTTTGAATTTCTCTAAGGGGTTACTATTCAGGTATTGCCATTCATTGCTGATGAATGCATGGCTTTTTGTTCGCTAGTTGGCTGTATGCTTGGGAGAATCGGCAGCTCTCCTCACCATTTCTGTAGCACAGTTTATTTTATTGCCTCTTACCTTAAAAATATGGTTTGCATTAAACTGAAGTTTTATGGATGCCCCACCGAAGGTTGTAGAAGCCCCATCCCTGGAGGTGTTCAAGGCCAGGCTGGATGGGGCCCTGGGCAGCCTGGTCTAGTATTAGACACTGAGGTTGGCAGCCCTGCATGCAGCAGGGGGGTTGGCTATTTCTTGGCCATTCTGTGATTCTTGGGGTCCCTCCCAACCCAAGCCATTCTATGATTCATACGATTCTATGATTAAACACATTTTGGTCTCTCGTATTTCCAGTGCAAATGTCAGTTTTGTTTTGTTTTAAATTCTGTTGCAAACTGATTTCTGAGGATAAAATTTTGGATCAAATCCCCCTTCAGATCTGCAAGTGAAAGTGGTGGTATTGCTGTGTTTGTATTTTCTACATACTTTGCTATATGCTCTAAGCTACTTCATTCTAATTGCAGCTGTTCTTCTAAAGCTTCTATACAGATTGTCTTAAATGTTTTATTTCAGATTCTTCATCTCCAGGTGTTCCAGACATAAATCCTTATCTAAGTTAAGATTAAAAATTGTTTACTATTTTGCTTGCTTTGTAGTCTCTTTAGGATATCACAGTGAGGCTAGTAAGGGAGCAAAAAAAGCATTTGTTCTATTTTATTTTGGGATTATCTCATGGTTATTGAAAAAAATGTTACTTTTTTCCCTTTAATCCTGGAAATGATTTTTCTTATTATGTTTCATACAGAGAAAGCAAAACAACTGACCTGTACTTTTTGTTTTGTTTTGTGCCAGCTCACCATGCCTTCTCCTATGCCCGAATATCTTAACGTTCACTATATCTGTGAGACTGCCTCCAGGTTGCTTTTCCTGTCCATGCACTGGGCACGTTCCATTCCATCTTTCCAAGCTTTAGGGTAGGTGTTCAATTACTCTATTTGCTCATGTTGAGATTGCACGCTTTTTAATTTGTTATTTGCACTGCCATCTTTGAGCACTTTTTGAAATATAAACCAGTTTAATAAAACTGTTGTATTGATCTTAAACACAAAGGTAAATTCACTCAATCAAAATGATTCCCAGCTTCACTTCAAATCAAATACTTGGTTGAGTTTGGAAGAAGAAAGGAGTAGATTCATAATGATCAAATGCCTGCTCACTGCCCTTCTTTAATAAATTATCAGTAAGTAGGACTTCCTATCATTTTTGAATAGCACCCCCTGAACTTAAGATGCATATCAGTCACCAAAGAGAAGCTCCTTTCTGGAGATCCAAATATTGCTGTCTCTATAGGTGAGCTAGTAATAATTTTGCATTTGATAAACAGTATGAACAACATGCTAAGTTAAACCTGAATGCTTGCTGAACCTCGGTTTAGTTGCAGAGGATTTTCCAAAAACAAATGGTTGCTATAGCCAGAAAGTAATTGTTATTATTCTCTTTACAGTTTGTGCAACATTCTTGTTTTGTAAGCAGAATTTGGTGTATTGCTAAAAATTCTGAAGCTATATGTGGTACTATCTTGCTGATCATCATGAAAAAAGATCTCAAGACAGCATGAGGAAAAGTGATTTTTATTACTTTCGGAAACCAGGATCAAGACTGTCATCCAATAAACTGGCTGTGTTACAATGCGATACATATCTGTCAGCCATGATACAAAGGGAGCACAGAATCATCTAGTAGATAAAGATCTTCTATGTTCTGCTTTAGTTTAGTATCAAAACAGCATCTGATGGTGGTAGCAAAGAGAATTCCTGTTTATAGTGAGGAATTGTCCCCTTTACCAGAAATCTTGGCAGAGCATGGATGATCTGTATTTACTTAGGTGCTTAAGCCAAATCATTCTCTGTTATTTAAAGTAGTGTGTTGTGTATAATTGAAACTTCTGTTTTGAAGAGGAGTCAAGTTCTATAAAACTAAACAATGGCAAGTGGAGGAAAGTGGGTAAATATGATATTTTAGTACATTGCTGCTGCAGAACCTGAAAATGCTTAGCAAATTAACATGATGAACTACATCACTGTACATATTTTGAGCTTTTTTTATAACACAAATATTGAAAAGTGGTGTTGTAACAGCAAATAGTTTTTCTAAAAAGTAAAAGGTACAAAAGACCAGTCTGTACAAAAAGATTTAGCAGGTAAATGAGCGCAGAAAATCTGTTTTTAAAAAAATATATATTACTTCCCAGTGTACTTGTCTGAATAAGCAAAGGAAGGAATAGGTTGCCACAACACTTGTGTTAATATTCACCTGTGTGCTATCACTTGCAGTCCTGGTCTACCTCATGGGCAATAGTATTTTAAATACCATTTAGCCATTTTCCTTTTGAAGGGCTGAAAATCCTAACATTGGTTTTCAAGTGGAGGTTTATTTGAAATTACTGATCCTTTTTAAAGTTCAGCACATTATGCACTGTATAATTCTAACTTTTAAAAGAGTGACTCACATTATAGATTTTAAAATGAAGGGAAATAGTAGTTGAGAGTAGTTGATGAGCCAAAGCAAAACCATAATAGTTGTTCTGGGAGGAAGGGAGGTAATTAGGTAGGTATCGAAGAGGTGCCCTCCTCAAGCACTGGTTTCATTGGTGTCAGTGAGATAGCTGTCTTTGACATGCTATTTTTGTTAATGGTATCAAGATATTGCTAAGCTCATTTTCCCACACGAGAATCTCAGTAGGAAACAGAAAGTCCTACTGAAATGTCAAGCAAGCTGGCTGCAGCCACTTCGTGTTTTGAGGCTACTTAAGGCAGAACTAATTGATTAAACCTAAAGCATCCATAAAGTCATTTTAGATCATATCTCCATGTACATGTATGAACCACATACCAGCCAAGTAGTCAGTATGCACTATTTTCACTGTAGTTCAGCACAGGCTTTTTGGCAGGAGATGAAAGGGGATGTAACAAATGCGTGTAGAAGCTGTATGATGTAGGGTATTCCTATCGTAAGAGGAATTGGATCATAGAAAAAATACTGCCATAGATTAGCTCTCTGTATCCTACACAGGACAAGCCTACATATATCTGTCATTTGGCATATTAGTAATATTGCAGTAAATCATAAGAAATCTTCTTGAAGACTACGTTAACATTCTTGAAAATTCCATTCCATTGTATTTTTATAATTAAAATCCTAGCTTTAATAAGCTTTTCTTCTTTCACAGGTCTTGTGCTTCTCTTAACTTTCCATTATTTATTTTTACTGGCTAAAATAGTGAAACATGGTACCTGAATTTGACTCCTCACTGGTTGGATTTCCTTTTTAATGTTCTGAGCTCTTGTTAAGCTCAGCAGGCTGGAGATGCTTGGCATTACTGAAAGTTAGGTTACTGATGCAGAACTGCCTGACTTAATAGACCTAATTTTAAGCTTCAACATTCTATTAAAAATATATATATATTGACTAGGTGTGACACTTATTTGAGGACTAATACAACAAACAAATTGTCTATTGTATTGTATTGTCCTTTGAGGACTAATACAACAAACAAATCCTTACAATAAACAAATCCTCATGATTTGTCTTTATACTTTCAATCCTATTTCTTACCTGGTTCCAAATGTGAAACAGAGACAGAAAATTTCAGTCAGGAAGCTCAGAAACTTGATCTCTCATGTTCTGTTTCACCAACCTGCAAGATCCCATGTTTCAAAAATGTAAAATAAGACTTTTGAGTCTATTCTACATCCATGATGCAGGAAGAATGCAAATTGTTTTTACTGAAGCATGTAAACGTTACTTAAAATTAGTGTAAATCCTAAGAAAATGAGCATGGTGGAAATGATGCAGTATGCCTAAAGAACTGTCATTTACTGTAACTTCAGCTTGCTTTTGTGTTACAGATCAGACATTCAAACAACAGTGATTTTGTTACAAATGTCACTTAAAATAGGCAATTTAATCCTAGCATGCAAACAAAAATGTTTTTGATGCAGGACTTCATTTTGGTACTGGCTGGTACTGGTTGAATCAGATCAGTGTTTTAAGAAGTGTTCTTCAAATTGAAAAACTGTGTAAGAGCAAGTGAGTGATTTCATTAAGTGCAATTATTGTGTTTTTCAATTTAATAGACAGGATAACAGCATATCATTAGTAAAAGCCTGCTGGAACGAACTTTTTACGCTTGGTCTTGCACAGTGCTCTCAGGTCATGAATGTGGCGACTATTTTGGCTGCGTTTGTTAATCACCTTCACGACAGCTTACAGCAAGGTAAGGTGCTGACTGAGCACGTCTGCAGACTTAAGGAATTCATGGGTTTGAAGAGTTGAACTGAGCAGAAGCTCATCACTTATCTATCAGTCGTTAATGAAAATGTACCATTCGTGGAAATTAACAGAGTTGAAACAAAATAGTGAAAACACAATGTGGTTTTTAACATCACTATAATTGTGTGTGATATCTGATAGTCTTCTGTAGTTCTGTTAGGATACATCATTCAAAATAGGAGTCTTTCAGACAACATCAACTTTAAGAACACAGCAGTACTGTGAATGTGATTCCTCTCTGCTAAGGGTGTGAAGGAGGATCCAGCTGTCCCTGCTGTGTGTAGCTGTGAAACAGCAGCCAAATGCCTCCTTTGTGATATAACCCCTTTAAATAACTTGGCTTATGTATATATGTAGGTTGCTCTGAAAGTAATGCCTCCTATTTATTTTGCATGGAAACTACAGCAGATACACAGAGCACAGTGAAGTTGTTAGACAGAGCAAATGCTCAGCTACGAGGCTCTATTTTTCAACACAGTCACCACCATTAGCTGCCTGTTTTTGCCAGAGATGAACAAAAGCCTGCGTGCTGCACTTGTAGCAGTCTGCATGGCTGTCCAGAACATGGCTTGTCTGTCATGTTGCTGTCACACTGCTGAAATGCACCACCTCACTGTGCTCACATCCACTAAAGGAACTCATGCAAATGTACACTGACCTACTCTGTCAATGAATTAAGTACAGCACCTGGCTCTTAGATGTACAGTATGGATCTGCAATAGCATGGTATTGTTCTTTACTTACAAGTAACCTTTTCTTTCCTTTTTCATTCTGTGCTGTAGTCCACTTCTGATTATTGGAAATTTTAAGTGGCAGGAATTGTTGGTGTAAAGATAATTCAGTTCTAGTATATAGAGTTTATAGGTGACATAGATTTTCTTCTGTTTGAATGTACTTTAAGTGGTGAATGTTTTTAAAATTCCAACATGACTACACTTTTGCATGCCTGTTGACTTTGGGGTTTTTGTATTTTGTGTGTGTCAACTCAGACAAGCTGCCAACAGACAGAGGAAAACTAGTAATGGAACACATCTTCAAACTGCAAGAGTTCTGTAACAGTATGGTGAAGCTTTGCCTAGATGGATATGAATATGCATATTTGAAAGCAATTGTACTCTTCAGTCCTGGTATGTAATCATTCTTAATGTAAAACTTTATTCTTTTTCCGTGACTATAGAGATTTGAGTGGTCAAAAGTTGGCTTAAAAATCCATATCTAAAATCTTCTGTTTTCCACAAAGGCATATTTTAGGTAAGTTTTTTTTTTTCCCCGTGTCCTTTTAAGGGCTTATAGAGGAAGGAAAAAGAGATGGAACTGCTTTAGAAAATGAGGAAGTAACATCAGATAAGTAGGCTGCATGGGAACTGGGATGAGCCTGCTCATCAAGTCTTTGGTTTTTAAAGTCAGGACTTTGCTAAGTACTGGACAAGATTCATAAGGTGACATAGAAGTATCTGTACATGCATTATTTTTTGCCGTATAATTTCTGTTTCATTAGATGCTGCTGCTGTTACCTCTAGAATCTCTGCCTCCCTTGTTGAGGAACCTGGGAAGGTGTAATGAATGACACAGGGCTGTAGGAAGGAGGGTTTCTCTTTTAATGAAAATAATTGGATGATGCTTTTGCCTCTGCTACCTATTTATTACTTTTAAATCTATGTCTCTATTCTGAGGTACTACTTTTGAGGGCCTGGAGTTTAATTTTCGGAAGTATTATTCCTGTGCTTCCTGCTGAGATGAATCCAAGTTGTGCTTTTAATATATGATAGTCTTTCCGAGCCTCGATTCTTGCATATAAAATCACAGTAACATATCCCCTTACTTCACATGAATATTGTGAATATGAATAGTAAACATAGCATTTCCTTTTATTTCTGTTTTCTGGTCAGTATTTGCATAATGTACTGTAAATAAAGTTAACTGGCTATTCATTAGGCAGTGGTGCTAAAATAAAATAATGACTATTTTTTCCTTCTGAGTGATCAGTCCACACTATGGAAGAGTAAAGGTTCTCTGGTTAAGACAGAAAAGGACTGAGTAGATTCTGTGACACATATAGGAAGACTGTAGGAAATGACAAAACTAAATTTCTTTATCTGAAAATTGTAGAATTAATTTTTCAGTAAATGCATTCAGATATTCTGTCTTTATGTTGCAGGTCTTAGATTTCATTCAGAATTTAGGAATTTAATATAAAAACAAGTATATTTTGATTTTAAAAAAAAGTAAACCTCAAGTATTTTTTGTATCACCAGGGATTTTTCACTATTAGATTTAGCAGGTAAATATGGAGTTGCTCTATTTTGCATTAGGAAAGTTTAAAAGCATGAGCAGCTTCTCGTTGCTCTGTGTTTTCTGGATGCTGATGTTCTGTGGAAAAGATCAGAATGTATTTTAAAAGCTGTGTGAGTCACAGTGTAGTCTGTCTGTTGTGTGGGATGTGGCAGAGCTGGATGGTACCTGCCACTTCTGTACATGTCTTAGGTCTGAGAAGAGCTGTCTTTTTCAATTCAGTTGCAGCTCACCCTTTTTTCAAGAGAAGTCAGTTGAGCTGAAAAAATCTTCTTGAACTTTGGCACTTCAAAAGTATAAATTTTAAGCAAGTTTTCTAATATTTATATAAAAGAACACTGAAGTTATCTTTTCTTTAAGTGGTATCCCCAGAGAGTATCCACATCTTCCAGAGAAAGTGTCAGCATCAGCACAAATGCATGAAATTTTGCTAAGTGCATAACAAAACCTTGTTTGTCTTCCTATTTTTCCCCCTTTTTTATTTTTTCCTTCTCTTTTTGTTATTGCACTTTTAGAAGATTTCTGAGATTAAAGACCTTCCTACAAATGAGAAACCTTTTAAGTAATCTCAGAACCCTCTATTAAAGATGAGAGATTCACAGAGGAGATTCCAGAGTTCTTTTGTTCTAGATCTTCCAGAAAAATCAGACCCTGAATATTTTCACTGTAGAGCATAATCTTGCTACCAGCCCTCATGACTTTCAATATTAAGAGTGCTTGAAAATGTTTATAATTTTTCCTTCCTGCTAAGGATTGAATACAAAGACTCAGGGACTTCCTTTAAGTGAGGGGTAAGAAGGTGTTTGCTGCTTTAAATTTAGTAGATCATGCTTGCAGGAGATTTAATTCACTGTTAAGCATTCCTTACCCCCAAAGCAATCCTTTCATGCCATTCCTATATTTGTAACTGGTACAGGTTCCTCCAGGAAACAATTTATAGCAGAATGTGTTGACCTGACTGAAGAAATCAATCCTGTTACAGACCTGAAAATATTTCCTTAGAGAGCTTACACTTGCAAAGCAACAATTATTTCTTTGTTCAGCCTAAAGTTAGCTTGTTTCCTTCCAAATTGCGTTCAACGATTGAAAAGGTAGGAGGACAAATATTCCAGGAAAAACCTGTATCAAATCAGGTGACTGGACTGACTTTTCTTTAGATCACGTGGTTTTATGATCACATTCCTAAGGTGCAGATGCTTTAATGTCAGCATATTGACTCATAAGTCAATATTCTTGACAGTATACATGCAAGACCAGTACACTGTACAGAAGAGAGATTCTGGCAATGATTTATAGGCCAGAAATTACACTTTCAGGGATTTTACTGCTCCGCTACAGGATGGGGCTGGACTGTGCATGCAGCAGTCCTAAGGTAAGAACATCTGCTTTGGTAGACTCTGCTGATTTGCCATGTTCCATAGCTGGAGATTGAAAGATTAATGAAAATCTTCTGTGCTACTCCAGCTGCATGACTGTAGCAAGTCAGCCTTGGGCAAAGAGATGAGTGCAAGGGAGTGCCTACAAGACTTGGCATCTTTATAAATTGCTACTAGCATGCTGTCAGTCTTCAACTACTGGTTTGGGAGCAGACTTCTAGCTGTTTCTGACATTGCTCGTCATGAACGTCATGAAGCAATATATATTGCATGTCAACAATAACTCTTCAAAATCTGTTGCTGCCTTTGCTAACCTCCTGTCATCTGCATTGATTTTCTACAAATAACATTACACAATTTGTCATGGTATTATGACAGTAAAATATTTACATTAAGCCAGATAGAAAATAAAGATTAAACTGTGTAAAGTGGTCAGAATCACCAATAATTTCCAAATGTGACTTGGCCATTTGATTAAATAACCGTTCATTCCTGCAAAATTTAGGAAACAAACAGTTCATAGCTTTTTTTTTCCCCCCTATGTGTATTTATCTTTTTTTTTTTTTTCTCACAAATGCTATTTGTGCATACAGTATTTCAATAAATATCAGTGCATTGGAACAGTACTGTTCTGTGCGACACAGAGAACAGAGGTTTATTACCAGGAATGATGTAAACACTGCAAGCACTGCACATATTTAAACTTTTCCAATTATCTGGTTGCATTTATAAACAGTAAATTATAACATCAGCATAGAGGAAGAGAGATAAGGAAGCAAAGCAGCATCCTTCATTAAAACTGAACTTGAAGTTGCAGCAGCTATCAAATAATCATTTCAGCATGCTTACAAGTAGATAATCAGTACAACTTTTAACACATCTTGGTGTGACAGGTGTAACAATGTAGGGTGTCTTTCAGATCATCCAGGGCTGGAAAATGTGGTACAGATTGAAAAATTTCAAGAAAAGGCATACATGGAGTTCCAAGACTACGTAACAAAAGCTTATCCAGATGATACTTACAGGTGTGTACACTTTAGTGCTCACTTGATGGTTCTCTTTTCAGATCATCAGTGATACTGATTTGCACAGTATTACTTAGAGTAAACTCATATATTTTCTTCTTACCTTCTTAAAGCTTAGAAATGACTTTTAGAACATTTAAAATATTTAAGAGCTCATATTATGATTACCATTTATCTAATTATTAGTAATTTCCAAAGTGAAATACTGGGAAGATAGAGGAAGTATTTCTTTCATTTTGAATTGCACCTGTTTGGAGTATTTCTTCATTTAGTCTAAGTTAGTCCAAATATTACAGTACATTGACTAATATATACACATTTTTTGTGCTGTTAAAGAAGTGACTGACTATAAAGTTAACATTTTTGATCTAAGTATTTAAGCCTCTCATGAAGTAAAAATAGCAAATTCCTATCACCGTTGTCCCTTATTCATTTTTGGTTTTCTTATCAGTAACATGGTTGTGAATAAGGCCAAAATGTGTGACCAAAGTGACTTTTTGCCAAACTTACTTTTGCAGACTGTCTCGACTTCTTCTCCGATTGCCTGCCCTGAGGCTGATGAGTGCTGCCATTACTGAAGAGCTGTTCTTTGCAGGACTAATTGGAAACGTTCAGATTGATAGCATCATCCCATACATTCTGCGAATGGAGACGGCAGACTACAATACTCAAATAATTGGTCACGCTGTATAAAAGTAGCAATCAAGGATTCCATACCATGGCAGTCATGGTGATGTAAATGCATACTCTGTCTCCAAGAGATGGCAGTAGGCCTTCCCATGCACCTTTCTAAAGAAGACTCGTGTTCCTCCTTTCCAGTACACTTGGGAAATGCGGTGGAGTGTCTTAAGGAATACAGGATCGCTTCCTATTTTTCATCTGATCTTCAAGGACTTGTAAATAGACTTGATATCTGAGGAAAGTCAAGAATTGTCCATCCTATTTTTGTAGATAGATGAACTTGGAATATTTGTTTATGAAACCCAGGCTTGTGAAGAAACGGAAGAAGCTTTGACTGAACTAAGGTATCTCGACTTAGTTTGGTGTTTTAGACAAATAAATTAAGTTTCCTCTCTGAGTTGTGTTTTCAGTGTTTTGCTGCTAGTTCTTTCTCACTGATTAAATGGAAAATAAGATCAAACATCTTGAAAAGGGCATTGTTTCTATGGAAGGGAGACCTTTATAATCAAGCTTTTATTTTCTGTTCCTTTGGAAAGAGATTATTTCATGTTGAATGAAGCAGTGGATGTTGTTATAAGAGCAGGGAAGGTAAAGGAATTTCACACTTAAAAATATTCTCCTTACTTGTTGATGCAGTTGATCAAAAGTAAAGCTGCAAAGGATCAATATTGACTGTTCTGTGGATGCAGAGGTATACTATGCTGTAATATTGTGTGCTGGTAGATATCAGCTGTTTTATACTATGAAAAATTGAGAACTGTGTACTGCAGGTGTTCAAAGAGAGCAGCCTCCTATTTTTTCTGCTCTCAAAAGTTAAAGGTTTTTCTACAGTACCCTTTCTTCTTTCAAACTCAGCACACAGGGAGGGAGGCATTCTAGAGGTGTCTTAGTTTTCTTTCAACCACCTCTATAACTAACGAATTGCATTTAGAATTCTGTGCATGTGTTCCTATCGTTTCTCTTGCATAAGACTTCGTATTTTTTTTTATTGTTATCCTTTGGCTGTCTGCCTGTCTTTTCCAGTCAGTCAGTCTCATATGATTTTTTTTTTTAATTAGAAATTATTGAATCCAGTACTTCTGTTTATACGAGCATGGTCTCTGCTGCTTTGCCTGCCCATGTTAGAAATGAGTCTAGGTTCTTTATGTATGTTGACTGAATTACACACCATGGCTCCATCAAAGATGGGTTCACATGCTTTCCTATCTTGAAGAACATGCCTCACTGTCAAATAACACTGATGGTTGATCACTCCTAGCTTCCTTTTGCATTGCAAACTATATATTCCTAGCACATTTAATATCTGTTGCTTAAAATTAGAGAGATTCTAGGAAAAGTTATGGTTTGCTGCCGACAGCAGCTTGCAAGTTTATCTAAATCTTGGATTGAGGCCTAGTTCCATTTAACCTGAACTTTTTAGTTCTGTGGCAGCATTGAGTGAGGAAGAGCCCAATTCTTTAGCCAAAAGATCAGCTTTGAGGGAGGCCTTTGCCCCTTTGTACCAGCAACTCCAAAGCCATGCTAACATTGAGGGGACAGGTAGATGAGACTTTGGTGATTTCTGTGTTTTTTCTCAGCACCCAAGGATTTCAGTCAACCAAAAAGAAGCAGAAAACTGACACTGAATTATTGTGTCCTTTTTAATTCTACTAATAGAGTTGTTTGGATCTTCCACTGCCACCTTCTAATGAGAGGCTGTACTACAGGATTGCTCATACACAGATCCAGAGATGGAAACACTTGGTGCTGAGGACCTCCAGTGGGATGGAACCATTCTCCCCTGCTCTGAACTTGGCACGTAGCAACCTTCTGGAGAACAGCCTTTAAAGATGCTGGAGCTTCCCACGTGCCCGAGCCCTTCCCACAGTCCGTGTGTCTAAAGGAGAAGGATTGAGGCTCTGCATTCATGTTCCCTGGAGTTCAAGAAGTGTGAGGACTTTTTTCTGTCTCAAGAGGGCAGTAGTCATGGAAATGTGAAAGACAGTGGCTGTCAGTATGCTGTGCTTGTCTCTTCCCCGTGGTTACAGGCCCCGCCATCTTGCTGTCTGTAGGACCAAATTGCGGATGGGAAGTGAATTGTTCTATTCACGCTTCCTCAGAAATTTGGACCCTGTCTTCCAGCCCTTCTCCTTTGCTAGCAGGAACAGTTATAAAAAGTTAAGTTATAAAAAGGAAAGTTTAAACCTTTCAAGGAAGTTGCCAGGCGGTTACCCCTGAATAATTTGTAAATGGTTTACCAGGCATTCCAAATATTGGAAGAATTTGATTCCAATATTCTCCAAATTCAGATAACTCATTTTTCTTCTAAATGCAGTAGAGACTGCAAATTTCTCCCACATCCTTGCAGATTTATATTTTTTTAGCCTTTGGGATCTGTGCCTCAGACATGACGAGCAGTTCTTTGTTTACAGCTGGGCAGAAGATTCAGCAAATGTGGTTTCTGCATGGTATTGTATAGCTGCAGAAACAGCTGAGAAAATACCAATGTTTGTAGAGAGGTAAGTCTTTAGGGATTGAATCCTTCAACATACCTGTCTTTAAGAGCCACGTTTTGAAGGATGTGGCCATAGAAACTTATTTTCTCTGAAATTCTGCTTGTTCCCCCTTCACACCATAGTCTGAACACAACTTGGCCTACTTCAGGGAAGCGTGGACTGCTATCACCGCTGACTGCTGGATCAGGACAGCTTTGTTAGGCTGTGTTAACTCAGAAGCACAAGAACCATGGTCACATTCTTTTTGGATGCCTGTCACCTCTGCATGGCAGCAAAAGTTTCAAATCTCATTGGCTGACTTTTCCCCTTTCCACATCTCTTACTGTTACTTTCCTGGCAAAATCTTTTGAGCTTCATCTGGGATTTATGCCAGGTTACATCAAGAATTCAACCCATCCATGTTTTTCTTTTTAAAACCAGTGTTTCCAGATGTGAGACTACACATTGTGTGTTGGGTAGCAAGAGACATGTGTCACACCCTTTCACATGACAGAAACTTGCATATATCATAGAATCTATTTTTCTCAGTCAGGTGAGAAGTCAAACAGGACGCCCATCTCCAAGCTCAGTTACAGACTCTTATTGAGAGCAGTGTAGTTGAGTCACCATCAGTAATCAGGATATACTCCAGTAGTTCCCAGGCTTTGCTCAATATCTGCATAGTATTATTACAAAATGGAAACCTTGTTCAAGAGATGTTCAAATTGCCAAGAAGTGGCATACACTTTTTATGTATTGTGTGGCTATGTGCATACCCATCCAAAAAGAAAAGATATTTATCTCAAAAAGATTCCAGTTATTTCTGCTGTCCATCTGTGCGATAATCATATGCCCTCCCTTCCCCTTGCTGTTGGTGGCTGACCAAGTGTAAGCTCTATACTGACTGTCAAGTGAAACAAAAGAGGGAGACAGATGCGTGTACACCCAAGGTATTGTAAGGGCCTCCCCAAAAAACCATAATCTTGGATACCTCCAATGTCTGGATTTCTATAAAGTGAATGTGCAGATACGCAACACACTGCAAAAAGTGCTGCCTACTGGTAAGTAACCTTTTTCCCAATGTTTCTTACATATTTTCCTTATAAATGTTCAGTGTAAGTTCAGTACTGGGTTAAAGGCAGAGTGCATGCTGGTCTGTGCTGCCTGGCGAGTATTCTCTCCTGTCTTGATGATCAAGGTGGTTCCCATAGTGCAGGTAGTTGCATTTGCGTTATTCAATTTTCTTACCAAGACTTTTCATTTATCATTTTGCATTCTTTAACTATAAGTTCATGCTTTTGATGAGGAGTGAGGCACAACTGGGCTTTCTCAGGAATGGGTTGCCCTTCGTGCTGTTCAGTCACACTGTTGTTCAGCCAACACAAATGTGAGCAGTGAGGCTCACATCACTGTGGATGCTAAAGTACCTCATTATTTTTGTGACCTTTTCTCCTTTATGTTTTATTCTGATCTTCAGCATTCTGAAACTTTCCATACCTCATCAGAATACAACTAAACTGCAGCTCTTACTACTAATAATTCGCTTTGCCAATGAATGAACGAGCTCTGTTCTGATAGCTTTAAAATGTTTAATGTTATGAAAATTCACTTTTGTATCAATCACATGAGTGGAAGAAATGATACACTTGGAATCCTGTCCCTTCAGATGGGAGCAGCGAAACACAGAACAAATTGACTAGTTTGGAAGTGTATGTTGTGAGTATATACATGAGTTGAGGGGGCTTGTTTCGTACTGGTAGAGTTCCTGATACAAACAATTGTTCTACTTTAAACTTGCTTCAAAAGCACTTTCATTGCAGTACCTTCTGCACTTATAACCTGTTGGTACCTCTCTTCTGTGACCATTGGTGTCAGTGAAAGTCACTGCTCTGTTATTCTGTTCAGCAGCTGTGGTTTCCCAGCACAGGCATTAGAACGTCGCTGTTCCTGTTCTGCTGTGGTATAAAAAATTCATTGTAAATGTCTTGAAACCTGAATTTGTAAAGTCTATTTTGGCTGTATTTTTTAAAATAAATTGTAACTTTCTATTAGAGAAAGCAATAGTAACCACCTATCTGTTAGTGTTCTACACAGGTTGTCTTACAGCCCTAAAGCAGTGTGTATGATTCCAAAGAGTCCGTGGATATTTCACTTTACTGTACAATGTTGTGTTGTCAATAGATTCATTCTCTGGGATTTGTGACCACTGCGGTATCTTGCTGTTCTCAACTCCTGTTGCTATGAACTCTTTCTTTTGTGCTTACTGCTCCTTTCTGCCCTGGGAATTTGGCTATTTGAAAATTAATGATTTATTACAGAATGTAATTTACCAACATTTTTTTTCTTTTAAAGCACTACATACAGATGTTGATACAATGAATTCTGATCACAGATCTTCGTGCCAAGTAAAGCAATAGTTATTTTTGGAGAAGTTTATTCAATTCATTATGGATTGTGAAATGATGACAAGTTTGGGTCCTTTCTAGAACTGATTTCCCAGTGCCAATTGAAGAGTTGTCTTTTTTTTTTTTGATCTTTAATTACAAGTGATTGTGATGTTTGCGTGAGTATGCAGATAGCAAGAACAAATGAGAAATGAGCTACCATTCTCTCCATGCCTAGATTCTGAAATGAATTCATCCTGAAGTAAATGAAGTTCTGTGGAGTAGACAATGCACTGTAGAGCAAAGCTTTGTGTGATGAGAGAGAAAGTTTGAGTAATGCTGATGAGGGAATAAGCAGTCGGACTCTCTTCCCCCTCCGTTAGCAGATAGTCCAGTTGCTTTCTTGCTTCTGTTTTAAAAGCTTACCCTTCTCTGCACTTCCACAGAGCCCTGTTCTCTGGTAGGACTGCTAATCTACTATCTGCTCCTTCCCATACCAGTAATATTCCACAGCCTTTTGGTCACCTCTGAACGAAAAAAGGAAGAGCTCTCTAGAAAGAAGTGCTCTTCTGGTTAATAACAAAAGTCTAGAAACTCTCCAACGGGGTTACTCTGCAGCATCTTCAGCCAACATCTCTAACAGTCCTGTCTTTCCTCCTCATACTTCTGTATAAAGTAACCCCAAATAACGTTTCTACTTCATATGAGCCCTTCTCTCCTGAGCTCTGCTTTTCCTTTGTTCATGTGCACAAAGTCACATTAACCCATGCCTGTAAGCAGCCCTGTTAGCCACTTCAGTCTTCCTTTTATCCTCAGCTCTGCAGTGTGAAGTGCTATCCTCACCCTGATGTGCTACTGCTAATATGTAACACAATTTTGTGCTACATGAATCTTTTATCAGAACTCAGGGTTGTGCATTTTGGCTCCAAACTAGGAACCAAACGTATCCTGAGTCATGGCACTGGAGCTGACCTGTTCAAAGCAGTCACTCCTGGACACATGGGGTTTTTGTGGCTGCTGATGCTGAACACATACATAAGCTCCATTATGGAGACCTCAACCCTGCTTCACCTTTGGGTCTTACCAGGGAGCAAACTGAACGGCCACATACTTTGGTTTATGATGGCTCTCATTAAAATTTTTCTTTCACACTGTAGCCAGTGAAATTTTGCTATTGGGAATGAAAGGTAAAGGCAGCTGCTGTGTGAGATGGCCCAGGCACTTCCTAAGAAGTGGCATGAGTCTTCTAAAAGTGCCAGCACAGTTGGTTTTGAGTGTTTCAGTATTGTCACAGAAGCATATACACACTAGAATGTTTGTGGGGTTCTTCAGTAACATTGTACCTTGAGCCTTGGTTCCAGACCATGAATCAATCTCTTTTAAAGCAGCTGAAGACAAATGAAAAACCTTTTTTGATCGTGCTTTTGGGAAATGTGGGCTATAGGAGGGCTACAAATCCAAGAGGGAAAGCATTAGATTGCACTGTTCAGACCAGAGTGAGAGAAACTACGGCTAGAGGCTGGGCCCACAGAATGTAAAGAATGGTGATGTGAATTTGACATTGCTTCTGAGACTCAGAAATTTTAGAAGGTTGGGGTACATTTTCAAAATCTACATAGCTGGGTGTGTTGTGTGTTGGATTTATTATTTTAATTGCAAGAGGAATTCCAATTAATTATGCAAATGTATATTCTTTAGTTGTGAAATCATTGCAGCATAAACTTACATGACTTCTCATACAAAGAACAGAGGGAATTGCAGTGGAATAGATAAACAATTAAAATATATATATTGTATGGTAAAATGTAAATATTGAATTGCTTTGTGGGTTGTTTTTTTACACTTTCTGTGAAATACTTGAACTTAGGTTTCTCAAAATCAACTTATCACTGAATAAAGCTCTTAAAAAAATAAAACATAGGATTCAATGAGACTCTTCTGTGCAATCATTGAGTCATTCAGGAAATGGATTTATCTTCAAAAAATGTGTTCTTGTGTACTACACTGTGATTCTGTATTAGAAAAGAAATTGCTAACTGATATGTTCAGGGCTTGTATAGAATGGCATTCTGACACTAAGTCTGTGCGACTTGCTGGAACCACAGGGGGAAAAAAAAAAGAACATTAAATTTGGTTAGGCAGTTTTTAAGACAGTGAAGTTCAACATACAAAACTTTAGGGGCACGGCATATCTAACAGAGACTTAGCATCAAATCTTAGAAAGTGGGAATAAAGAATTATTTATGGGACCATGAGTTTTACAGTCAAGTGAATGCTATCTTCCAAAGGTACCCCAATAAATTCTTAGGAAAGCATTATGCTTGTGCTTGTATTCCACATTATTCAATCACGGTATGTGCACAGAGTTTGAGGATAATGTTGAACAGAGCAGTAAGAGTTTTCGTAAGTGGTGACCAGATGTTAGCAAAAGCATTGTAAGTAGGTGCAATAGGACTTGAGCATTTGGGCTAATGGCAATGACATTCTTTGTGGAGACTTACTTGGCTTGAGGAAAAATCAAAATGTAATGTAAAGATGCTGTAAGAAGTTCCTGCTTCTACAATTGTTGTTCCATAAAAGCTTCAATAAGCTGTAAGAAAAGCTGTAGGATTGAAGTTGGATTATGACAGAATCACAGTATTGTAGGGACTGGAAGTGACCTCCAGAGATCATTGAGTCCAGCCTCCCTGCAAAGCAGGCTCCCTACAGCAGGCTGCACAGGTAGACGTCCAGGTGGGTCTTGAATATCTCCAGAGAAGGAGAGTCCATAGCCTCCCAGGGCAGCCTGATCCACTGCTCTGTCACCCTTACTGTGAAGAAGTTCCTTTGCATATTGATGCAGAACTTCTATGCTCAAGTTTATGGCCATTTTCCTTTGTCCTGTTCCCACAAACCACTGAAAAGGAGTTGGCCATGTCTCTTTGACTCCCACACTTAGTAGGATATTTATAAACATTAATCAGATTCCCTGAGTCTTCTTTTGTCAAAGAACAGACCTAGTTCGCTCAGCCTTTCCTTATAGGGGAGATGTTCCAGGCCCTTTATCATCTTTGTGGCCCTCTGCTGGACTCTCTCCAGGAGATCCCTGTCTTTTTTGTACTGGGGAGCCCAGAACTGTGCACAGTGCTCCAGGTGAGGCCTGAGGAAATCCCTTCTCCCAGCTCGTAGTTACAAAGTGCCATCCCCCACAGCGGCCTCAGCCTAACTACAAGGACACACGGTGCCAAGTGGATCCATGAAGTGACCCAGAGGTCATCCATTGCAACCCTCGGGGAAAAAGATACAAACAAACCTCTCAGACCGCTGCAGGTAGAGAAAACGTTCTCAGAATTAGATTCTTATCAGTGAAGATGACCACATTCACCAGTTTCGTGAATATCCTTAGCAACTGGTTTGGGAGTTGCAGCTGCTTCGCGATCCAAACGTCGGCTGGCCTGTTTTTAAAAATTTCTTTTTCACAGATCTTTTTTCTTAAGCGGTTTATAGGAAAGCAACGGTTCGTTAAAGAACAAGCGAACGAACACCACGCAAACTCAGAGCCCGGCGGCCCGCCCGTCCCACCACCACCGCACCAATCCCAGCGCGGGGCGGTGCCGGAGCCGCTGCCGGCGCCGTCCCAAGATGGCGGAGTACGTGCAGGTGGTGAAGCGGGCGTTCAAGCACCTTGGTGGACACGGCGGTGTCCGCGGCGCCATCTTGCAGCTGCTCAGGTAACAGGGGGCGCGGCGCGGCGCGGCGCGGCGCGGCGCGGCGACTCCCGGCTGTCGTCTCGCTGCCCCGTCCCGTGGGGTCACCTTGGCGGCCGCGCTGGGTTCGGGCCGCGGGCCCTGCCTGCCTGCCTGGCTGGCCTTAACCCTCACCTGAGAGTTTGACAGCTCTATGCCATTCCCTCGGGCCCTGTCGCTGTACCCGGAGAGCTCTAGGGCTCAGCACTGCCCTTCTGGGCTGTGCAAACCGAGGGGCCGCAGCCACTCCTCACACAGCTCGCCCTCACACTCTTCACCATTTCTGTAGCCCTCCTTTGGGTGCTCTCTAGTAGCTTTATGTCCGTTTTGTACTGTAGTGCCTACACGCAGTGCTTGAGGTGAGGCTGCAGAGTAGAACAGGACAGCCTTTTCCATCAGTACACCAGAAATCCAGTTATTATGGCTTTGTGTGCTTGAAGGCGTTTCCTTTAGTCGGGGCTCACTGACATTGGCTGAGAAACGTCCTTTGGAGGCTCTAAATGCCTCTTAGTGTTTGGTGTCAGTGGTCAGGGCACAAATGCCAGGACAAGGCTTAACAACCCTTACAAGGCAGGGAAGGGAAGAAGGAAGGGAGAGCAGTGATGAAACATCCCTTCTTTTCCTGAGGTTAGTTGCTCAGGCTTAAATAACATGGGGGTCTGAGTGCTTCTGTATGTAATTGGTGAACACCAGCCAAGGAAGCATGGGTGTACACATGTTCTGTCACTTGGCACTGGATGGCGAGCACCCAGAGCACTACAGGCAGCTGGAACTTTATGTGATCCTGCCTAGGGTGGATGTCAATGAAGAGAGGAAAAAAAAAAAAAAAAGATGCAGATCTAGGTGAGGGAAAACACTTTAAAACACGTCAGTGACATGCAAGTCATAGGTGTGCTGTGGTACTCCCTTCACATGATATTTAAGGTTTTGTGGGTATTACATCATGCTTTATCTTGTGTCATAACGAACTTGTGAACAGGCCCCCAAGGCCTGTCTGTATGACTTCAGTGTCCTGTCAGTGGGGCACACAGTGAAGGCGAGCTGGTGTCAGTTGCAGGAATTGGTGATTATGTTTTGCACTTCTTCAGTCTGAATAGTTCAGGGTTCCTTTGCTTGTTTTGCTTTATGTACATGTGTTTGAGTTTTAATTACAGATTTTTGCCTACCTCTAAATAAGCTTCTGTTGCAGTTTCACTGTGACAAAGGTAATTGAAGCTGTTCTTCTGGGATTTCACAGGGTCAACGAATTGAAGACTGGTACGCTGGTGGGAGTTGACAAATATGGAAACAAGTACTATGAAGACAAAAGAAACTTCTTTGGTACGTGTGCTGATGTGACCACCTCCTGAGTGGCAGTCCAGCTCTACTGCTGGTGAATTAGGATTTATTGCCTGCCAATCTTCCTTGCTCTTTGCTTGTGCAAGAGCACTAAGTTCAGCAATGTAAGGCTGCAGTGACAATAAAAGTGCAGAAAATTCAAAAAGAACCAAATTCTGGTCTGCTTCCTAGTCATAGCTGTACTTATCTTGCTGCAGGGGCCCATAATAGCGGATATTTTTAGGCAAAATAGTTTTCCTTGTGTTTTCATGGGTTTTCTACTTTATGTGAAAGTAATTTCTTAAGTTTATACAGTGTTTCTGTTCATTTAATCAAGGTCGACACAGATGGGTCATATATACTAGTGAAATGAATGGCAAAAATACATTTTGGGAAGTTGATGGAAGTATGGTGCCCCCTGAATGGTAAGACATTTAACTTGGTAACTTGAATACATTGTGTAATTGCATGTATGTCTTCTTGTATTACAAAGCAGAAGATAAAAAATAATACATCCGTTTTTGGTAATAAGTTTTCTTGGAGGCATGATAAAAAGGCTTCAGACTGCTTAGTTTTAATTCCAGTTTAGAAGGGTTTTTGCTGGATGCTTAGTTGCAGAAGAAAGGTACCATTTGACAGAATGTTCCCATAGGTACAGAAGTTCTTCCTTGATTAAGCAGCACGTTGGTTAATGAGAGAGAGGAAAAAGCTGATAGAAAACCTACAGTGCTGCTCACTGTATCCACGAGTGCTCTGTGGAGGCACAAGGTGCCTTTTTTTGTAGCTTACCTCCTTTTCAAAGCGCCATTCCTTTCTTGGAAAGAAGGTGGTCAGTATCCAGAAATGACTGTTGGAACAGCCACAGGATCATGGGATGGGCAGGTTATGCTTTCGGCACTGGGAAGCACCACGGCCCAGGTCTTTGATTTGTGTGTACTCCAGCAAAAAAAAAAACAAAACCAACAACAATGCAGCTTTCAGACACTGCAACTGAAATGTAAAATGTTGTATATATGTGCAGATGTATGGAATAGTTTAAAAATTATGTGGGCATGGGAGACAGAGTGACGTGGCTCTTATTAGAACATTTGAGCAGTGTGTGGGTAGGCTGTCTAGGCAATCAGTTTTGCTTCAAACTCCCTCCATCTTCAAATTATGTTTAATGCAGTTAATACTTTCTCTTTCATCTCCAGTATGAGTATTATGGCACAGGTTTTTAGAATTGACATTAATATCTGAAATCTCCACTGCCAGCATGTTCATGCCAGTGGAGAGCTGGTCCTTATTGACTGCATTGTAACTTTTGTTTGATTCCACTTTTTATCCTTTTCATGATAAGACTGTGCCTGTTTCCAATATTATCATTTCTTTGAGGCAGTGTTTTCCTTCTTCTTTGCTCATGCTTATGTGTCACTAACTGTGTCCTTGCAATATTCTACCAATATTCTACAAAGTTTATTTCTGAGTATCAGTCATGTTTCTAGGTAGAACAGCTTGTTTACATCGCATAAAGCAGTGAGGTGAAAAGCTTTCCTGTTATTGTGGGAAAAAAAGCACTGGAAGAAACAGTAGGCTCGTCATTATTATCAACACTGATTGGTGCAATGAGACGTGAAAGGTTACACATGCAAAGAAAGCATCAGGAAATGTAGTTGTGCAGTATTCTTCTGGGGTTTTTTGCTCTTGTTATGTTTTGCTTTTTTAATTGGAGCACAGGTCTGATGGGGAGCAGCTGAGGGAACTGGGATTGTTCACTCAAGCTGAGCAAGCTCCATGTTTCTGGCTGTTGAGTACACCGTGCATCTTAAGGGATAACTCTGTGGGCAGCTGCGTGCAGTCAGGATTGTGGAATGCTGTGGACTTCTGAGATGCAGTCAGGTGAACCTCGCATTTCATGCATGATGAATTGGGGAAAAACACTTCGGCATATTGGAAAATTCTGAAAACGCCTGTCTGGGGAAAAAATGAAATAGGAATTAATGTTGTCAGCTTTAGATGTCTGCCAGATATTGGAAAAAAGGGAAAAGCAGGAAGGAAGAATGCCTCGTGCAATAGTATAGCACAGCACCATTTTTTCAATTTTCAGCATTCTGAAATAATTGGTGTGATGTCTTTTGACAATGGATGTGCTGGAATCACAGCATGAAGGAAATCAAGAGCTGTTTTGACATATGTGTGCTATGCAGGGAATTGGGACTGCAGCTGTTTTAAGAAGTTGCTGTAGCGGAATATGTTGCCTTCTGATTTGTTATGATTTAAATGATCTTATTTAATCTCATTACTCAGGGATTTCTTAGCATCAGAATCAAGGTGATGGTATCTACTTCGTTGGAGACATGTTTGATTTCTTTAAATCCTTTTGACACTTGTGGAATGATTGGTACTAACCTGTGCAGCATTGCAGGCTGCAGGAGTGCTAACTTCATAACGTGAAATTTCAAATGTAAGCTAATTTTAATAATTAACACTGTTTACATTAGCTGATCTGGCAGCCAAAAAAGGGAGGAATATAGCATCTCAGACTTAAGGGCCAGCATACCCTGAAATGGAAAGGAATGTGTTTTTCCTCTGTAAAATCAC